CCTAACCCTAACCCTAACCCTAACCCTAACCCTAACCCTAACCCTAACCCTAACCCTAACCCTAACCCTAACCCTAACCCTTTCTCATACTTATTATCTGTTCTACTGCTTGTTTCATATGTTTTCGCCAGCGAGACTACAATGTCTTTCGTCAGATGTAAAACTCTCTACACGGGAGAATCTGTAATCCTGAAAGTCAAGAATGCAGATTCGACAATTCTGCTAGACCCAGGAGTCATAGTTCTCCAGACCCATACTGTCTATGTCACGCCAGATGCTATAACAGATTCAGTTCCCAACCGATCTCCTTAATACACTTGCTCATCTAATTTAGTAAGCGACACAATCACAGTTCCCACAACACTTCCTTCTATTACAGACACACATACAACTACTTCAACTTCAACTTCTACCGAAATTTGTTCTATTAAGTTTTCAATGTCCGCCCATTAGTTTTGAATAACGTACTACGTGTTCAAGTGACGATTTCTCCCTTTACAAATCCCATGAAAAGAAAACTTTCTCTGCTTCAATATAAAGACTGATATTCAGCACCAAAGCCACGTTCATCGACATTGAAACGTCCACAGCCACAACTTCTACGAGAATCGTCAACCCAGTGCCTCCAACTATGTCAGCACCACCCGGATATACCTACTTGCACCCCACCACTACAGCAGGTATGAACGCTCCCCATCCAATTCAAGGCGTACGAGAACAATTTCTGTGTCATTTCTCAGCGTACTCTTTTACCAAACGAGAGGCATCCTAAAATTTATTTTCAAGAAGCCAAGAAATGTAGGGACATCGAGCAGGCCCCAACACCAGAGCCGTATATCAAGAAGATATCCTGTACAAAATTCGTATTTATAGCTGTCAATCCACAGATATCCACCCCCGGAGCGGAGACTAGAACACGGCGCGCATCCACCGTCCAGGCGACAGAAGAAGTAACAAATACTTCGTTGGTTATATTTGGAACCGATCGAGTGACTGTAACCTCGACAGTGGAGTTTACGTATACAAGCCCAACAACAGTGACCGAGTCAAGTACGACCACGTACGTACTATAGTTTAAAGAGACTGTTTACAACGCTGATCAAAACTCCACAGTTTAAATGCATTTGCCACTAAAACCGCGGACCCTATATATGAAGCTTGTCTAGCTAGCTCCGGCGCGTACCTTGGTGTTTACCTAACCTCGAATCTGGCTGTTCATACATACACTGGTACAGCGGGCAGTCAGTATGATTGCTGTGTGACGGTAGGTGTGATTCGAGACAATTTTCTTGCTCCCTCAGATTCTTTCAGATACAGTTGCAAGTAAAAGGGACGATATACTTCCAGAACGATGTTCTGACTTTGCATCTGTTTGGAACTCGATATTTAGGGAATACGGCTAACTCTGAAATTCTCCACAGTGCTTGAAGACTCAAGGCTGTGCAGGCGGTTACTACATCTCTACAAGCAGCTATTGCGCCCTTAGTTTCAGTGAAACTTGCACTACAAACGTACAGTCTCAAAATCAAGGACTACTTTTGGGTAAAAATTCCGAAACATACACTTTTTTTCAATAGTCCTTGTGGCAGGTATAGTGTAGCAGGAGGATGATCCATGTTATAAATCTGGCATTTCTTTATCGATCTTGGGGTCCGAACGATGCTTTAGAAATACCGAACGAATCAACGATTTTTTTTTCAGCTGAACAAAGTTAGGACGAATTGTTCAGGGCATTAAACAACCTCGGTAACAGCTATATATTGGAGGTTGCAATGGTTAGGGTTGAAAGCTACTCGAGTACGACCAGATTATGTTGTTGGGGGCTAAGGAGGGGAGTCTCGGTCATATTCGGATCACTTGAAAGAAGAGGATGCGATATAGCACTAGTCAGCTCTTTTAAGCGGTACAAGAATACATCTCTCTTACTAAAACTTATACCTAGTTCTCCACTTGCTGTCTTTGGTGCTTATATAGAGAACCAGATTACCCAGTGACCAGATACATAGCCATTTTCGACGTTACTTGGGCCTTTATTCGTTCGCTGACGAGTTAAGCTTAAATAAAATTCCTTCATAAATGTAAGTAAATATAATATATGATCGAGAGCTATATATCACTATTAACGAGTTATATATTTCCAAGACATTATATCTTAATATTATATCTATAGTTCTTCTTTCAGAGACCACTCCAGAGAACCTCACATGTTATTACCAGTCCAATTCTCAATTCCCCCCTCCCCTCCCCCTTCTCCCGAAAACCCAAGAAACCAAGCGACTTTCCACCCAAACCCCCAAATACCCCCAAAAATAGGACCGGTAGGAAAACATGAACATCCAACGTTAATAGTAAGGGAATCTCGCATCGGATTTGAGTGTAGGAGTGATGAGGGGTAGTAGGTCGTTCGTATTTGAATTTGCGGATTATATGTCGGCGTAGGTAGGTGGGGTGATGGGATCTTGAATATGTCTTGATGTGGACTACGGGTTGGAAGTACTGGGTGTGGTTGTAGATGTATGAGTGGGGGTGGAAGTTGGCTGGGTTCGAGGTGGTTGTGGGCATGTATTTAGGTACTCCTAGTTTATCTCGCTAACGAGCTTATGACAGGGAGTAAATACAGAGAACTTGCAAGTTATGTTGTTCGGAATCAGGAATATGGAAGGCCAGGGGGCCAGAAGAGCTGTATTCAGATGACTAGAGAGCTAAGTACTACTGTGGGCAGGAGCCTGCCTTATATGGCGCTGGCATATGCCCCTCCTTTGTTATACACTCCTGCGCACTCCTGTTCCACTTTATGTCGGTTGGTTCTATGTTCCGTGTTCTGTGCGGTGGAAACCACGGGTCAGCATATTAACTGACAACAAGTTACTATATATAACTAAGGATCATAACGTCAAGAATACATCAGAAAAGCCCGAGGGGTGGTTGTAAAAAGTTTCCTTTTTTCGCCTCCATAACATCCAAAAGAAATGCTAACTGCCCAACCAAATGCATTATACATACAACCCACCCACCTATCCATAACCAAGAATTAAACGCCGTATCTCACCACGAACAGAGAACTACCACCCTATCACAACATCCCAAATACACCCGCCGCAACAACCAACCAAAAAGCAGCACTCCACCACTCCACCCTCCCAGCCGCACCCTTCTTCCCCAATCCAAACGGCAATCCCTGCGTACTAAACGTAACATTTTGCACGAGAGAACTATTCACACACTGACCACCCACAACATCCAGCCCTCTCAAATCATCCGGGACCTTGAAAAACATATACGTCTTATTATCCAATTTCTTGAAGCCGCTCGTATCATAAGGGAACTTGTCGCCAGAATCGGTGGCCGAGGTGTTGCGGAGGAAGATGCATTGGACTTGGCCCGGGAACTCGATGGCCATCTCGGGATACGCTTTCATAACGTCGGCGTTAGAGGTGTCGGCTACGAGGATGAATTTTCGCTGTGGGTAGGTTTGGAAGACCTTGGTGAGGAGGAATTTGCGGATGGCGAGCGTGGCGGAGACGTCGGAGAAGTTTAGGGGGCGGGTGTCTGGGGTTTGGTTAGTTCTGTTTGTGGTGGGGGAAGAGGGAGGGAAGAGTGTACCGAATGATCCTCCTGGGTAGGTTTTGTAGATGAAGTCCATGTAGTTTCTCGTCACTTGTTCCGGGGTAGTCGTGAGATAGTGGAAATGGAAGTCAGGAATTGACCTCGACCAATTTGCGTAGATTTCTGGCATGTTCATCCAGGGTGTAAAGGCTTTTGCAAACGAGTTCAGGAGTCCATCTGCAGGCTGGTAAATTCGAGTAACTCGGAGAATATCGTCAATATCAGAGATGATGGTGAGACCCTTTTCTGGGACCAGGTAGGAAGTCGCATTTCCTGTGTTGGTACCTGTTACATATACATTGACCCTTTGTGGTAGTAATGTAGCGTTTCCTGGAACGAGATATCCACCTGGTCCAGAGACGTTTTGAAGGGGAAGGAACTGATCGAAATCTCCTTCAACGGTTGTCGTTCCCATCAAGGTGATATTTTGCGACCCTCCTCCTGGTGTGATAGCATTACTTCCATTGCCTGTCCCATCTGTTACTTGACTTGAGGCTGGCTCGATGTTGAAACTGACTTGCCTGTCACCTTGTTGGACGACGAAGATTTCCGCGGTCAAGTTTCTTGCTTGCGCTTGTTCTGCGGGCTGCAACTTATCGATTGATGTACCAACGAGGAAGACATTTGCGAGATCATTTAATTTGGATTCGGAAATATTGGGTTGCTTAAAAACGTTTCCACGGAATCGCAGATTCCAACCTTGCTGGGTCCAATTCGCGTATGATCTATTTCTCACTTAGCCACTTCCTCCTCCTCCAATATAGAGACCAACCCAACTTACGGGATGGTCAAGACTTGTGTAGGAGCCGCATCCAAATCGCCAGGATTGAGATCTAATTTCTTCAAAACCGCGTCTCCTTGAGGCAAGTCCTGAAAGAATTGAGGCACACCACTCGCGACGTAGGAAGGAAACGAGCCCAGAACACTCCCAAGATAACCATCTAAGCCCGCAATTGAGCTAAGAATATCGCGCCGGTCGACTCGAGAAGGTGTTCTGTCCTTGAGAGTTGCTGATGGAGTGACCATGGGATGAGGTTCTGCAACCGCAACGGGTTCTGGAGCGGGTGCTGCGAAAGCCAGCGGCAGAATTGCCAGTAGCACTTGAGAACGCATCGTGATGATTCCGACTCGAGGATGATGGTGTTTAGGAAGGGATGAAGAGAGATTGGGAGATTATTAAGGCAGCTGAGGAAAGACCTCAATTTCCAGCCGTTCAAAGGGTGAAGGGGAAAGGGGGGGTAGAGGAACCAAATTATTATTGAGTAGACACACAACACACAGCTCACAGCCCCAACACGCGCGGGCTAGGCCATCAATTATATTTCCCTCCCTCCTCCCTACCCGGGCAGGTGCAGGTGCAGGTACTCGGTGCATGGTGTTTTCCTTCCTTATTCGCCCACCTGCGCCTCATTTCGCTTCCAAGGACCAAGGCAAAAACATGTGGCTGCAGCTGTAGACCTTGCGCGCAAGGTGACATCACCGCATCCTTCACCTCAGCTTTCCACCTATCACAGCTCGAGTCTCAATGCACGTCCCCACTTTATTTCAGCTTCCTTGCGGTCGCATTGGAGGGCTGAAACGGGCCCGATGCAAAACATTTTCGCCCAACCTGCAGGCTGTGCTGCTGTTGCCATTGTTTGGCGATTCGGGCTGTCCTGTTTCCCTGAAATAACAAGTGTAATGTCCACTTCGATTCGAATGGCGAAGCTTCGATCAAAGTCACGCGAGAATCTGGCGCTGGATCAAGAGAATTATCTAGGTAGATTCTACACAATGAGCATCGCAATGTTCGTTTCCATTCATCCAAATCAAGTCCGAGAGGAAAGGGAATATCCTGTCCATCGAAGCAAATTCTAAACAAGGAGAGCTCTCGTTGTCTTTCAAATGTTCAATCTCAAGGTTATTCCTAGGCAGGTGCCCATGAGATAGCTTGTGCAGCCTACAAGCGATTCTAGCCTCTTTAAGGGTAGTCACTCGGCGTCTCGAGTCAGGCCAAAATACCTAGGTACTCGAGGATGCCCCAACCCGGAAGCGAATTTGATAAGGGGCTCTCTCGCTTATGTACATCACAAAGCAATGTTGGGGCGATAGCTGAAGATTTGGTTTCTCGGATGGCTGCGAGAAAGGAAAAAGAAGCAACTATAGCCGTAGCCAACTTTCAAAATGACTCCAAATAATAAGGCTTAGTACCAGCTACTACTTCCCAAGCGCTTTGTGGTGAATGGAAAATTTACGTCGGCCTCTCCTACCTACGTCCCGCCAAAGTACCGTACAAGCGAGCTAGTTTAGGCATGATGTATGAGATAATTGAGGGACAATGTACAACCTACACTCATAATTTGAGATTTTATCCTCTGCAATTAAATGACCCTCTAGTCTTTAGAGCATCAGCTTCAATTATATATAAGTTCATCGCAAAACAGGATAGAGTATATCAATAATGATGCTCACAAACCACTTTACACGCCCAAAGTACAGTAACTTTCGCTTACACCTTGGTGGGACATAGACACGGGGGCACCAGGGAGAAATAAGCGAGGGCTCTAGTGTCCGCTTGTCAACACCAAACCAAAATAGCATCCCACTTAACCCAACGGCGCGATCAGAAGACACAACGTAATTATCTCGACGTAGAAATCCCCAACGGTCGCCCCGCTATTCCGGTTAGTCCCAAGAACCTCTCATACCAATATATTCCCTCTCCCAAACATGACCCATTCTACTGTCCTCCATTTCCATCAATTCCATCCAATACCAAACTTATCCATCGAATTCTTTCGCAAACATGAAAATCTCAAGTACTATCTACCTAACGGTTACCCTCGCAGCTTCCGCAGCTGCAAGAGTAACTGATGCTGTGCACGACGCGGTTGAGGGAAACGCCCACATCCAACCTCGTAGTGACTGGTCAGATCCTGATCCCACGTACAAGGCGCCGTATGATTATGGATGGGAACCGAGAAAAGAGTATATTGGATATTGGCCAGGGGAATCGGGAACTTTCAACGATGAGTATGTTAAGCTTAGAGCTGCAGCTCGGTTGTGGGATGGTATGTATTCCCATGGTTTCTTTTTTTTTTTTTGTTTGTTTATCCCAAAACCTCGTCACTAGTTCTCTTCACCTTAATGTTTATATCAGGTTGTAGAATATTTGCTTCCAAGAAGACAGCTAACAAGAAATAGTAACCCACCCCATCCTCCCCAAAAACGTCAAGATCCCCAACCCCCTCCTCCCAACCACCGACCCCCTCGTCCTAGAACTCTACCAAAGCTCCCTGGTATCCTACGAACAACACCTCCGCCAATCCCCCATACAAAAATCCGCAGCCAACTCCCTGCGCCGAACCAACCTCTTCTACTTCATGCAAATCAGCAACTGCGTGGCCTCGCTGGGCGACAAGAAGTTCTGCGACCCCTCCCAAAACAAGGATATCAAGCGCCTGGGTTGGGATGTGTATGCGAATCGGTTTAATGGGCTGTATCAGAAGTTGTTTGATGGGATGAAGGAGGAGGGGCGTATTTTGCTGGGGAGGAAGTTGAGGGAGTTTATTATGCGGGAGAGGTGGGTGATGGAGGGGCTTAATGTTAATGGGACGGTGAAGGATGAGGAGGCGTTGAAGAGGATTCAGGTGGGTGAGAAGTTGGGGTTTGATGCGAAGGAGATGGGGTTCAATAATTCGGAGGTAGGGAATTGGAAGGGGAAGAGAGGTGAGAGGCGGAGGGGGAAGCTTACGAGGAGGGGTTTTTGGGAGGGTAGTAAGGAGGAGAGTGGAGAGTTTAGGTTTGAAGATGAGTGGGCGGTGGGGGATGAGAAGAACTTTGAGGAGGTGAGGAAGATGCTGGAGAAGAAGAAAGCGATCAAGGAGAAAAGTGAGGCAAATGCCAAGTACTCGGATGATGATGATGTGCCGTGGCACATTAAATTTTTGTGTTGGATTGGGAATCTCAAGATGAAAACTGATCCTATCTGTATTGAACAGTGGAGTGGGTCTGAGACTGAAGATGGGCATTATTAGGGTTGATTTCGTTCTTTTCTCTCGCTTTCAAATTAAAATGTATTTATATAACTGACGAACATTGTTCTACAATTGAATAACCATAGAGTCAAATACTGCATGCTATATCGTGCAAAGTTCAAAGTATAGGTGGTCTGGTTCTATTTATGTACAAGCATTGTAGCGCACCCCAAGAGACTTGCAGATTGTTGTAGGTTATATATCCTGAGAAGAACTTCAAACAAAATCTCCTAGTGAACAACTTCCCCTTTCCGTCTATAGATTACAACCATGTCTCTTTCTATAAACAACATAGTCTCCCTCACTCTATCCTCTTCACAATCATCGACATGTCACGCGATATAGACTCGAAAGCCAAGGCTCTCACGCTGGCAACAAGTTTCGGAGTTGAGAACACGGCCCCTTCGCTGGAACAAGACTACAATTCCCGGCCTTAAGTAATGGCCTATTAGTCTACTACCCACTGGCCCTTTTACGCCAAAATTCACCCCACGCACTTCCTTCTAAAACAAGAACTAGGACACTTAAAAAGGGTTTTATATTATACACTTATCGAAGAGAACAAAACAACTGATACTCTTAAGAACCTTCTTTTGGGGTAGTTTCATCTTTATATAGGTTACTGTATATGGGATATAGTAAATGAATAGAGCGGTGTGCCATTAAATAGACGTTTATATTCACGTTCGTCCTGGTCACGGGTGAAGGGGGCACATATATAGGACTAGCACCTGGGGGAAGTGCGCCATTATTTAAAGTCTAGTCCCATACAGTACAAACCCTCGAGATGATTACAAGGGTTGGGATGTAGTTCTCGTACGTTGTGCTTGAGATTGGAGCGTGCGCGCAAAGGAGAGGAGACAAAATTAGTATCAGGAAAGTACCGTACACCAAATTGAACAAACAGCGTTGAAAGGTTCCAACATACGACTTTGCTCATACACGATGTCTCTACAAACTTTCTCTTCGGTGGGACTCCAGTGGCAATTAATCCTATGGGTAAACATCCCAACCACGTCTTCAGAGAGAGCGACATCGGGATTAGAGGGTTGGGGTTAGGGTTCCAGAGATCCGCGGCACTCGCTCCTACGGCCATTGTGAAAAAGGCAACTCAACCGCACCCAACGCACATTTCCTGGTTGTGGAATCGTCTTATCTGGGAGTGCGGAGGAGTTGGATGAAAACTTCGGTGCAAGAAATGATTGGATTATGAATTTATGACTTATGCGTCATGTTTTTGCTCTCTTCGAGAAATCTTCGAGTTTGAGGTCGCATCAAAGGATATTCGCAGGAATGAAGGTCTAGTAAGATATTCCTACGATTGTACCAGAATTGGGGGCGGAAAATTGCGGGGTACATGTATATTTTCGGGATGGCAGCCTGTTTGAACCCCCACTGCTACAGTATCGTAGTAACGACATTGTTAGTACAACGTTATCCTTATACTTCCTACAAACCCATTTTTTCATCTATTTCAAGTACCCTCACCTTACTTTCTCTCATATTGAGAATTACTCACCGAGCCATTTGCTCCACATACACGCGAAACCCGCAAACTCACACACCAGGACTAAAAACTACCACATGCTAACCCTCGAACCCTCACCTCGCTAGCTTCCTCAGACGTGAAAATATCTCACGCCTCCCAATAAGATGGCAAACCCAACTTCAACACTCCATCTTCGTCCTGCGACAAAAGCCGACGTCCCTTCTCTGGTTGGGCTGTGGTACGCGTGCTTCTTCCAGTATGGAACTATCGCGAGGTTATTCCCCGACACCGAGGCGGTGAGGAATTGGTATAGTGATGGTTTTGAGTTATGTATTGAAGGGAAGGGAGAGAATGGGGTGAGTATTATGGTTGGTGTTGAGAGTCTGGATGGTGGTGAGAAGGAGGAGGTTGTTTCGTATGTCAAGGTTGGTGGTTTCTCCTCTCTTCTTTCGTAGATAACAGTGAACTTTGAGAGGAGATCAATATTCTCTTATACAGTATCCTTTATCAATTTCACGTCCATTGTTTTCTTAAGTCACCTTCCAATGTGAATATCATCAAAGTAATACGAAAACTAACACCCTTCCCTACACAGTACATGACCGAACCTCCAACCCACATCAGAAAATGGCAAGAAACATGGGGCATCATACCCCCCAATTCAGGCCTAGACGAGCAAGCAATCGAAGACGACTTCTTCGCCCCAATGGCTAGACAACACGCTATAGTCATGAAAGGGATAGAGCACCTATGCATGTCACCCCGCTTTCCCATAGCCCCATTCCTCTAACCAGTTACAACAGTCCTCGAAGTGATCGCAACCCACCCCTCCTACCAAAAACGCGGTCTGGCAGGCAAAATGCTTACCTGGGGGAAGGAATATGCTGATGAACTCGGGATGGATCTTTATCTGGATGGTGGGAAGAAGGCTAGTGCGTTGTATGAGAAGTTTGGTGTGAGTTTCTCTTTCGTTTCTAGTATGTTTTTGAGGTGATAGGTTGGGAGGTTGAAGAAATAGAAGTGGTCAGGGAGGGGTCAAGAGGCTAATTGTTTTTGTAGTATGAGAAATTTGAGGGGATGCAGGATGAGAAGTGTAGTAGTATTCCTATGGTTAGAAGGGTTGGTAAATGAAACTGTGGTTTTATGGTTTGAGTAGTATTAGTGAGGAGAGGTTAAGATGGTGATGGAATAGAGCGTAGAAATGCTAGAATCTAGGCTGTTAGGGTTAAGGAAGACGTGGGATTCGATATGAATTTCTTGCTTTCCATATCTTTGATGTTTCTTGTTTCCAAATTACCTGCAAATAAAGCTATTGTCCATTGCGAGCTATCTGTAATCTACCTACAAATCGCACGTGCCTCTGTTTGCATTCTTTTGTATTCTACCAATAGAACAAGCACAAAGTTTGTGCATTGACGACTTGATTTGTACGCAACACAAGAGAAGACCTAGGAGTTTGATGTGGAGCAGCAATAACGTGGGAGACAACCTCATGAATTTACATACCAGTTCATTTATGAAATTCATTGTCCAACGTTCTTCCAACACAAAACAGGAAAGACTGAGGAATTTATCGTATAGCGTCAAACGTATGCTGAAGATTAAAAGAAATTGGGTTGAAAGATGGGTCAAATCCCTTCTCGGAATACGATACCCGCCGCCCGCGGAAGCGAAAGTGCTCGGGTAAAAATAGGGGTCGAGGATAACGAGAAGCGGGGTACTGGGTTGCCGGGAAACGCAGATGTCAAGTAGGGAAATGCATGTAAATTGATACCCATATTATTCAAGTGACACAAGATACAGAAGATAAGATAGAGCCCTAATCAAATTTGACCACCATTCTCCCGGCCGCTTTTCCAGAACGCATCGCATCAATCATCTCATTAATCTGATCCAGCTTATGGAAAGTGACCCGTGGCTTGATATTATGCTTGGCCGAGAAGTTGATGCAAGGACCCATCTTCTGAGGGATGGAGTTGCTGGCGCCCTTGATTCGAAATCTGCCCATAGCAATATCCATAGCGTTGAGATGAATTCCTAGGCGCGGAATACCTACAACCATCAAGACTCCATCGGTTCGTAATAACGGTGGTGATGCCTCGTATGCTGCTCCCGAATCTGTAAAATTGACTGCGGCATGGCACCCTCCGTCTGTGACTGCTTTTACTTTGGCAAAGTAGTCTTTATCAGTCATTGGGTTGAATGCGTAGTCTGCACCAGAGCTCTTCGCTTCTTCAAGTTGGCGGTCGGAGATGTCGATGGCTACGACTTTGTAGCCCAAAGCCTTTGCGTATTTCACGCCTGGTTTTGTTTAGAAAATTGTAGACTGATAGACAGGGTATAGGGAGGGGGGAAAAGCCTACCAAGATGTCCCAACCCACCACATCCAACAATTGCCATCCATTCGCCCTCCTTGATCTCAGCCTGCGTGACGCCCTGCCAACTAGTAACACCAGCACAAAACAAAGGCGCCGCTTCATAAATATCCAACTCTTCTGGTAGAACAATAGCATTCATCCAGTGGCTTACAACATATTCCTGAAAGAACCCATCATGACCAAATCCTCCCATGGTTGCTGTCCCCCGAACACAAAGAGTATTATGAATTCGACAGCCCGGGCATTCATAACAGACATTTTCGGGACACAAAAATCCAACTCGGGCACCGACCTTGAGAGTGGGGTTTTTGCATGATGAGGGGACGCTGAGTATAATCCCGGTGGCTTCATGGCCGATTGTCCTTGGACGACTATCTCCTAAAACGAGTCCTGCATCGTTAGGCTCAAGTAGCATTACATCGCTGTGACAAATGGACGCCGCAGCTACTTTTATGAGAAGCTGGTTTTCATTTGGTGTAGGTACAGGGGTTTCATTGACGGTGATCGCGTTTGTTTCTGCGAAGTACTGGGCCGCTTTCTGGGTCTTTGGGAGGGTTCCGTTGATAGCCATAATGAGATATGGACTTGGATCTGCAGGTGGTCTTTTTGGAACCTAAAGTCTAGCAAGGAATGACATATTGAAAGGAAAAGACGAATGCCATTTTATTTATGGGTTTGATAGACTTTGCCGAAGCCCGGCCTCAACCGAACGGCGGACCAGTTTTCCTTCTGGATAAGGATTATGAATGTCTTCAATGTAACGATAGCTTCAGAACTGGCATGTGGGGTAATTGATCCAGCGCCATTTCGGCCGCGCTCATAGTACCAGACATAAATGGCTTTTCTGATGTCAGTGAGGTGGGTGAGGTTGGAAAAATATATCCGGGAAATTGTAAGCCTTCAATCCATCACATAAGCAGGTTGTATCAGCTGATTGACCTGTACTTTCTAAGGTTCTGCATATTGACTGATAGTATGGGTAAAATGAGAGTGCTCAATTAACTTTGTAATCTAGAGATTCTTGAGTACGAAGGTATGCTCGAGTATTTCTTTTTTACAAAATTCACGTGATCGATATGGACCCATAACAAACCTACCTTGGAAGACCTAGACCAATGAACAGACATATACATAGTCGTACCTCTATACATAGAATCTAGACGAGAGTCGCCATAGTAGAAAAGCAAAGCGTTTTCTATACAATGAATCTAAATATAGCCTGACCTCACGCGAGCTGCAGCGATGAGGCGTGAGCTTACTTTTTTTGCATCAAGCCGAGCCACAGATTTCAAAGATTTCGAGAGATATCGATAACCTAGGCGATATACAAGAAGAGAGACTCACATCGAAAACTTCTCTCTCATTCCTTTCCCGCTTCTCCGTCTCAAAAAGCCATCGAAGAACTTCTCAAGCGCCAGGCTTTGAAACCTTCGATTGCGAAGCAAGCTCACCCGACTTCGGGGATCCAACAGATAAGGAAATATCTGGGATCATAAACTCGAAGCCCGATATTCGTTTCTTTCACGCCAGTTTCTCGGTCATCCCATAATTTCCGCAATCAAGATGATATTCCTGCCTTCATATCTCAAATTGGGTCTCACAGCCGGAGAACCTCTGGGGACGCCGCTCCCAGTGATTTTATGTCTTCATGGAGGCGGGAGTAACGCAACAGGTATATCTCATCTCTTAAAATCCCATTTCCCGAACCCATTAAAATTTTACAATCCTTCTTGAATCACGAGTTTCACCTCCTCCCCCAATCGATAGACTCTCTTTTTCGGAGGAGACCATGAAAAGATACTGATAGGAAGGTTAGTATTCAACATCCAATCTCTCCGCATCCAACGCCTCCTCTCAAATACCTTCACGTTCGTCTTCCTCGACGGACCCAGCGTCACATCCGCAGGCGCAGGCGTGATACCAACCTTCCAAGGCTGCGACCCCTACTTCCGCTGGTTCAAAGGCGACAGAGACATCAACATCATGCCATCAGAAACCCGTTCTCAGGTCTCGCGTGCTCTAACATTCATCAACTCCGAGCCCGAACTCGGCTCCGTCGTCGCCTTCCTAGGATTCAGCCAAGGAGGCAAACTCGGCGCCGGTCTCCTCTGGGAACAGATGCTCAAAGGAACGGAATCGGGATGGGATTTCAAATTCGGGATCATTTGCAATGCGATCTCGCCGCCGATGACGGAGATCAGGGGCGAGGATGAGGGGAAGCGAGTGCAGATTCCGACGCTGCATGTTGTGGGCTTGGAGGACGAGTGGAGGGAGAGTAGTCGGAGTTTATTTGGGGGCTTTTTTGATGGGGCGAGGAGTAAGAAGATGGAGTTTGGGGTTGGTCATAGGCTTCCCACTGCGGAGAATGAGACGAAGGACGTTGCTGATGAGATTTTGAGGATTTGGGGGGAGATTAAGGAGGGAGCGTGAATAGTAAGCGAAGGAGTGAGTTCTCGGGGTTGTAGAATTCGAAAGATCTGACACATTTACTCGTGTACACAAGCTTACTATAGAGAGATATTTTAGGTAGATGGTTTAATGAAAAGTAGATGGCTTTCCACGGATGTAGTAGTTTGAAAACATATTTACTCAGCCGAAGGAAAGAGTGGAGTAGAGTAGAGTAGTGGTACCTACGCTACTGTAGTCGCCAAGTGCCCGAGTAGAGTATGCACTGCTTGGGTAGCGCCGAGCAAGTCGGCACTCATGTATAGCGCGCCAGAACATGACTCCTGTTGGTCCTGTCGCTTAAAAGGTACCAACTGGGTGCAATGTAACCCACATACCCTAGGATAGCCAAGCTTGATACTCAAGAAAACAACTCCACTACCTACTCTACTCTACTTGATCAAATCACCTACTCACCTCAGCTCAACTACACTCTCCTTTAGTGCCACTTGCGTAGTTAAGTATCTCCCTCCTGCACTGTGTGATGGGGAAGATTATGAAGTTAACACTACTTTTTATATAAGCCCAAAACTTTCCATATTTCGATACTTTCTCAAGCTATTTTTAGAACTGGCCTCTCAAGCTTGTAAAGACTGTATGAATCTGGTCTATTTTTTTACTAGTTATGGAATTGATCAAATCTATTTTGACATCCTATGTCTCCGCGCTAAAACAAATCCCCAACTCCAAACAAAACACTCTATCCCATAGCCCTTTCCGATGCATGCGTAAAATAAGGTTCCCTCTCCGCAGCATTTACTGTCTCTAACATTAGCCCTGCCCAGAAATCCCACAATCTTAACTCAAGTACGAGCGGATAAAACATACCAATAGTCATAAACATAACCCCAAACTCATCCGCCTCCTCCAACCACCTCTCCGCCCTCTCATTAATAGTAACCCCCTCCTCAATCGCCACAAACTCACCTTGCAAGAAGCCGACTCCCTCCCACACTCTCAACCAAGCCTCATACTTCTTCTCCCATTCCTGCTCATTGGTAGCTTGCCAGAGATACTTGGCGGCTGAGGCAGGCATGAATCCCAATTCTTCACAGGCGAAGGACGGGAGACAGTGGTAGATGCTGTAAGCCCAGTGAATTAGGTACAAAGTCAGAACTGCGCGTCGTGTTGCTTCGATATGAATCCATTTTCGGTAAGGAGGCATAGAGGAACTTTGCTCAGCTGGGACTAAGGGGTTTGGTTTAGTTTGCTTCTTTGGGGCGAGGGGTGCGATATAAGGATAGCACCGGGAGCCTGTTGTGAAAAGGTCATTCTAAGAATTATTACTTACGAATTAGGGAAAGGCTGACGAAGTGGTAGACGATGGTTTGGATTGCGGTAAAGATTTGTGGGTCCACATAAGGTAGGGTTGAGAGCGGTGCTCTTTTGGAGGGAAAGAGGAGCACAAGGACGTAGATCGCTAAAGCTTGAAGACTTGCCAATAGAGTTTCTTCATTATACGACCAGTACTTTATTCATGTCTAGGTAAGTTTACTTGGTGAGAAGAGCGGTGTAAGAGAAGACTTACTTGGTTAAAGATTGCTTGCATCTCCTTCATTATCGTTTGTTGGACCATCTCCCCCGATGTTGTACTTTCACAATACCACATTTTACATAGCGTAAAGCATTTCGCTAATGGTCTAAGAAGTGGGGCTTCGGCATGTCGAGCGTGTATAATAGGCGGTAATTGTAGCTCTCTAGCCATCATACTTGGCCAGGTTCTCATACATCGAAACAGATATTCCATTGTATGTTTCGTGAGGGGAGGAATGGTAGAGGGGTTAGGATAGAAAGCTCCCCAGGCGTCATTGATTAGATCCAACCTCGGACTACAAGTCTCGGAATTGGAATTGGTATTTGTGAGGTCATGGTCGAAATCCGAAATTGGGATTTGGTTTGCCAAAGGCAAGTTGCTGGGGGTGTTCGAGGGCAAAGACGTTATGGAGATTATTTCCTCAAGGGTGATAAATTGATCGAGTGCATTGCTGTTGGCACCACTGTATTGTGCAGAATCGAGTTCCATCTGAATCTTCGGCACCACTATATTTGCATTGGCATTGGCGTTCAAGTCCGGTCCCGAATTCAGAGCCATCTCCAAAGGTTCTTTCGCATCACCGCCTTGACTGTCTCTTTCCACCGACGGCGGAAATTCACACCCCACATTCCGTGAAGTACAACTACCGCATCTGGGCCGCTGTAAATCACATTTTATCTTCATCCCCGCACACTGGAAACACGATCTCTTTCTTAGACTTGGTCTGGGACCATTGGTACATCTCTTCCCATGTCTTACCAAGGAAGATTCTATCTCACAAATCAGTATTACTTGGCCTCTGATGTTGAGCTGAGGTTGAGATGTTTAGAGGAAAGGGGAATTATACTTTTACTGAAACTCCGCTGACAGATAGAACATTTGAGATCTTGAGCCGTCGTCATTTGGCTAGCAGAATGGAATTGTGTCAATTGAGGAATTTGGTCCTTAAGATTTGTGGCCTGAGTGAAGCTCCACAATGATACCTTTCCACGTTATCACGTATAGGTGCAGGTGGACGGTGTAGGTTTACTATGCACCGATCATATAAGATCTCACGGGATGATCGTCGGTAACAGATTCGCCAGGACCAAGTACCCACTTTTCTCGGCCTCCTATTTGGACGCTCGGCATTCCGAGTGGAGAATAATCGGACTTACCCTTTTTCGTCACTGAAGTTGAAAAGTTGTGGTCGTGAATGTTCATGTTCTGAAACATAATTGGAATACCTGCAGGTATCCTTACAAACGCGAGGTAGAGGTGTGAGATTTGCACGGCTGTCAGCATTATGATGCTACTCTGATTCGACATGGAGGAGTCATATTTTCCACCATCTATAGATTGAGGGGGTTATGTTTTGTTTTGTTCTATCAGTGACCATGATGCTGTAGAATTGAATGCTATACATATACAACCTCAACCACCTCTAATTCATACCCAAAATCTCCATTGCCATCTAACAATCTCCCATCAATCCACCGCCAAACACAGCCCTCAAAATGACAATCAACCACCTCTTCCTCATGGTCCCCTCCATCCATGCCTCCACCCTGCGCACCTTCTATCGACAGGCCCTCCGCCCCCTTTCCTACACCGAGCTCATAGTAGCAAGCGAAACCTATATCGGCTACGGAAGCGACTACCCCTATTTCTGGCTCAAACCCTATACTTCGAATGCGTCAACCGCAGCTCCGGTACCCACACACATAGCATTCGACGCACCATCTCAACCAGCCGTTGATGAGTTTTATAAAGCTGCTTTGTATGTATTCTTTCTTCATTTGACTACTTTTTTGGTATAATTTCGGCTTGATTTCGATTTTGTGAATGGAATGTGGGCTGATTATGAAAAGGGAAGCGGGAGGCACGGATAATGGCGCGCCGGGGATTAGGAAGGAGTATGGGAGACAGCCTTACTACGCTGCTTATGTGAAAGATGTCTTGGGGAATAATATTGAGGCTGTTCATGTTTCGAAATGATTATGATTTTTGGTCAAGATATGTAACATACGAGACATAATCAGAAGCAGAGAAGAAGAAACGAAAAGGTGATGAGGAACTGGGTTTGCAACCTGTACGCAGTTCACGAAATTGTATTGTTCACTCGCCTTGAATGATATTTCAAGATACAAGTATTTTAGATGAATCTTCATCTTTTGTTTCTCTAAAAATCTGTGTTCCTAAATTGATATGACATTACAAGGTCTCACCGTCTCAAAAAAAAAAAGTCACCCTAAAATAAATAGAATTTAAATGCAGCTTTATCCGAGAATCCACAGATAGCCATTTTTTCAAACCAAATATAATTGGTCCAGGGATCGGTACATGAAAAGCATCGCTTCAGATCATTTCTTCTTTAATTGATTTGATATCATACACAATACATAGGCAGGGCTATGGGTATGCCATTCTCTACGACGCCTCCCAAATTTCGTCTCAGCATACCCACCATACCACCAAACCCACCCATCCAGCCAGCTCCAGAAAAACGCCAGCGCATAAGACCTAACATATCATCTTTGTTACTAATAACTTGCACATTATAAATGACTACCAACCACTTCAGCGAACTCCGTAACCTCAAGAATCATTAAGAGACGCAAGTAAATCGGCCATATATGGAGACTTTAAATGCGTTAGTAAAAGTATCATGCCATAGAAATCAGAAAATCAAACTTACTAAAGCCCGATTGTGGGCCATGACCTCGTAAAAAGTAGGAACAACAGGTTTGAAAAGTCGGTCGACCCAGGAAACCCCAGTCTCTCTGGTATGAATTTCCTCAGCTTCCGTCTTACTAATATTGCGAGCAAGATTTCGAAGAACGAGGACGGCACTGAGAGGGATGCCAGCAGCATCGTGCCGCTCATCCATTGCTGTTAGATACCAGTGGAAGCCTTGTTTAACGGCTGGGATGACGTATGATGGTTTCGTCTTCTTAGCCGGTGGTTGCCCGTCGGTTATATTGTTGCTTGGGGAAGGTGATTTGAAATGGAATTTGATGTGTGTAACCAATTGAGAAAATTTGTCTGCGGGGGAATGTTGGAAGCCAGAGCATTCTCCCCAGTAGCAGGCGAGCTTGTCGGTTCTTGATGGTTGGTATTTGCCATCGGCTGTTTTCTCTACGTAGAGATGAGCTTGCAAGATGTGATAGAAAACATCTGATTTATTGTTGAAGTATTCGCCACAGGCTCCAGCGGGGGCTCCTGGTCGGTGAACATTCCATAAACATTGAACGTACTCTTCCCCATCCAGATTGACCGGTAGACTCCTCATTCTAATACCTTTGATGACAAATCTCGGGTTGTCTCCACTCTGAACTTGTGCTGCAGCCTTCTCGGCGAATGTCGTACTGACGTTCTTGATGAAATCAGCTGCCTGGAGAATTGGTTTTCCGGTTAGATGAACGGTTGATGCAAATTGATTTTGGTAGGCAGTCCATAATGCAATTTGAGTGATGCACTCTTCGCGGTCTTCTTCATAGAGGCAACGAAGCCACTGTGAACTGCGTTCCGGTTCATCCATTGTGAGAAGCTTAGCGAGAAGGTCACCAGGAACTGGGGCAAGATTTTCAGGGGCGGGCTTCCTTCTTTCTGGTACGCGGATCATATCCTTGACCACATCTTTGGCACCGTGTGATAAGAGGCGGGTTAGCTGATTCACAAGTGGTTCAACCTGTACTTCAGAGAGGAGAAAATCAACGTTATCCACAACCGCGGTGTACTGGTACAAGAAGTCCAAACAAGCATGGACAAGATCTTCATCATTGAGAAGAATCCAGTCCATGATGTATTGCATGACTGTAACAGGAACTCCTCTGAGCATATTGTTTTCTTCCAAATTCATGGAGATTCTACTGATAGCCCGTAACGCCGTCAAAATTGCTCCTCGATCAGGAGAAATTATCTGAGCCAAAAGTGACACATACAGAGGGTCGGTTTGGTCAAAGTGCAGGTATTTGGTAATTTGTTCCGCAATATCAAGTGCGTAGTGTTTTAGCTCCACTACACTGTCGAAATCCGGAAGGTTGAGAGCGATGCTTAACCAGTCTCGTAATGGTGACATATCTGAAACATACTGCGCATTCTCTTCAAGCATAATCATGTTTCTCATGGTGAGCGCCGCCTCGTTGACCTGGAGAAGAGCGTCGCTGAATTGTTCAGTCTGTATGTTGTCGTCAACATCTAATTTGGGGAGCTGTGCAATTCGGTGCAAGATGTCCGGGGTACCGTCGATTCCGTTGAGAACATTCAGACTACTGGTAGCCCCATCCTCTATGTATGAAACCTCCCAGTTGACCTGATAGAATAACGAGCCGACTTCCAATAATTTCTCCGTCAACGCCTCCGCCAACCCAGGAAAGGATTCGAACCGATATTTATCTCCTCTTTCCATCGAAATTTTGACCAAGTGGTGTAAAGCATAGTCTTGCTCGGAAGCTATGCCCGATTTCAACGCACACAGACATCGAACGTAGATATTTGGGCCATCGAAGCCAGCTAAAGAAGCATCAGCGTTTTCCGGTCCAGAGAATGATCAGGATTCACTTACAACCAGGAAGCATGAGACCTCGATTTGCGAAATTGGAAGGCGGTCTGTTTGCTGCGGCCAGACGAGCCTCTTTCGCTCTCTGAAGCTGTGCGAAACCTACGGGATTGTTGGCTGGAGTGGTGACTGGACGCAACGTCAAAGGCATCGGCGGCCTTGGCTCATAGCTTGCTACGGCGTGTGACATGCTGTCGGTATTGGAGGATGGATTGAAAGAGGTGGAAGCACCACGAGGTCCCGCTTGGTTCTGTGTGGAGTGTTGGGGCGAGGAAGCATGGGAGGTGTTGGAGAGATGTCGGGTCTGTCTTGGTGTATGTGATTCGGGCTGGAACAATATTCTTTGTGGTGGAGCCTGACGTAAACCTCTGGTTGCTCTTGAACCGGACCCAGGCGTCTCTTCACTCCCATTTCTATCTCTGGCTGGGGTGCCGTCGTCACCCGATGCTTCTGACTGCTCATTTCCTGCATTTGCATCTCGCCGCGGCTTATAGTTCTCGGTCGTCCGCGTCAAAAGACTGCCACCACTCGCCGTCTGATACTCCAGAATCTCTTTGGGCGGCGGTTCTTTTCCGTGGACCGTGGAAATCTCGTAGGCCGCCAGATTTTTATAATAGACCGTCTTGAGGGCAAAGGCAAGTGCGGGCAGCTGCATGGAGCCCAATTGGAATTTCTCGCCCAACTTGCGCCATGCCAATTTCTCGTCGCTGACTTTATCGTAGCCGCCATGAACCATGACCGTTTTATATAGCTTCAGGAGGTCAATCTGCCGACTGCCTACGCGGGGCTCGCGCACGAACTCGGTGCCTCGCTTCTCGTGGTATTCGGTCAGCTTGGAGATGAAGCCATGGTATTCTGGCGTGTACTCGATGGAGGAATCGTCCTGCGGAGGAGGCGCCATGATCGCGCCGAATTCGAGTTATAGATGCGCAATGTGAGGAGTGGTGGCCTTCAATGCTTGATGGGCAATTGAAGCTCTTCTGAGTACAGGGAGACGCGCGCAATCACTCTTCACTTCGCGACCGCAATGGCAGCAGGCGGGAGCTAACCTTGGAAGGGGATTGGGCCGATCGGCGTTAAGGGAGCCGGGGTTTATCCCAACTGAAGGGCCTGGAGCCTCATGCCTCAACTCTGGTGAGCGTACGACACCTGCAGAACCAACCGCGATCTATACGTGCCTATTCAGGTACTCGTTCATCCCTCCGGGGGCCACTGCCGTGAAGGCTGTATTTCTGCGCTCTGAAGTGAAGATGTGCAGAGTGAGTTCCCTGTTATAGTGTCCTGTAGGCATAGATCACGAGAACACACTGAGGTCCACGGGCGCTTTTCAACTTGAAGAATGCCTGGGTTAGCTGTAGCGGGTGAGTCGGATATCCATCCCGGCCGACGGAAGAGCTTTCGGGTATCTTCCGGATACCTTGGCGGGCGCGGCCCGGCATCGGTTGGCATGCCGTGATCGTTGCTTCCCAATTAGGCGAGCTCAACACCAAGCAGGTACTTGCGGAGGAAGGAACGCAGCACTGCACCTTCCCTCGATCGTGTCGATACACCCGATCCTCGTACGATCCCCGCGCTCGCGTCCGAAGTCGCGGCGATCGATGGTGCAGAGGGCAGAGGGCAGAGTATATGAACAGATGCCTCGCCCTCCCCTCCCACGTCCACTTCCTCCCCATTACCCACCATCCACATCTTACGTCTCAACCTCCCAGCGCCGATTTTGCGGTGTCTCTGGAGTGCGGATCAGAGTCTTACTCCTCTTGAATGCTACTACCTATTCTATCATTTTGATCCTCCCAACTAACCATTGTCTGGATTATAACTGAGATTATTGACCCAGCTTCACTTCTTGTTCCTCTTTTTCCCTCTCCATCCTTATGAAAGCGTTCCTCTTGAGGCTCTCTCCCTCGCCTGCCGTCAAAATGTCTCAAACTCAGTCACAATCTCAGTCTCAATCTGGACAATCGCAGCCTCCGCCTTTCCCCCATTCTCAAGACCCCAATGGTACCACCATTCCATTCGCCAAGTTCTCCCATGGTAAGTAACCTAAGGTCGCCCACTCTCATACGTGCCAACTACTTGGCGATAAGGGCTGGAACCGCCTGCTTTCGGTTCCAAGTGCAATATACTGACTGAAGCTGCAGTGACTTGCGCTTCAGGAGTCACGTCTTTTACTTGGACTCACGTCGGCGAGAGAGATGATTTAAACTTGGTCTTTTACTCCGTCCGTCAATTCGATGATAACGTAAACCGCAACGAGCGCTTATACATGAAGATTACTGCTGGTGCCGAATTGTTGGTAAGTGATGTCGGATCCTGGTCGTTTCAACCTTCATCCGCTGATGACATACAAGGAATCTCAGGATCTTGGTGATCTCGTCAGAATCTGGAAGCAACATGATCCATCCAAAGGGGGCGATACGCCAATTCAAGTCGTCATCAAGTGCCCATTCTTGGCCATGAGATTCCCGAAAAGCAATACCAGCGTAAGTCTCTCCAATTCCTTTGAACCGTCCCATACCCTCCATTGTGCTATCATACTTTTCCTATTCTGTTCATTTCTAATACTTCAATTTACAGGTTCGCCGAGTACAGCTAAAGTTTAAAAGCGATCCGGATTTTCAACAAGCGCTTAGTATTTTGACTGATCTTGGTCTGCCTGTCACCCAAAATGTTCCCTCTGCGCAATCCAATGGCCGTCCACTGGTTTCACCTGCTCCTGCAATGGGTCCTCCAACACCGACGCCCTACAGCGCAGGCAACATGTCGAGCTTATTTTCGAGACCAGGTTCGACGAACTCTTATAATTCATCAAGTTCCAAGGCGGCTATGCCTGCAAACTCGAGCTCCCCAACCAAGTCTGACTTCAAAGGCCCGTCACCCGGCAATGATTCTTCATTCCCGGCACAAGCTTCAGTTGCTAGACAGTCATACATCACTTCCTCTATGCCTCGACCACTTTCCACTTCGGCACTTCCGAAGAATTCCATTTATCTTGCACAAATGGACAAAGCAGTGAGTTGCAGTTTCTCCGTTACGACTTGAGATTTCCAGAACCATACTTATATCTACAACCCAGGTGCACAGGATTTCCTCTCCCAATATGCAAGAGCCACTGGCCAGTGGTACTTCTCAAGTATGCTCTCCTATTCCCACGCTTTGAAATCTGTGCTAATTTTGACAGTTTCACCAAGTCCACCATGGTTCTGAACAACTGACTCGAAGTTTTTCTGCCTCACCCTACTTTAGCAATAGAGGTGGCATGTTTGGCCCACAAGCCTCTACCGAAGACCCTTTCACCTCGCAGTGTTTCAGTGTACCCGCTCGAGTCCAATCTGTTCCCGCAGCTCAATCTTTTGATACACAACGATTCGCGCTACCTCCCAGACGTGTCTTGCCATTTGCGAAGCCCAAGCCAAAGGAAAAGGTTATTCCCTCACCACCAACGACTGCACCGACCAAGGAAATCGAGTCAACTGTACCAGGTTGTGCAACACCTACTCGAAAGCCTGCCAAAAAGCGCGTCGCTCAACGGAAGCCTTTGGTGACCAAGACACAAGACAATGAGAACGAAAGTGTCGCTTTTGCTGCTGCAACATTGGATGATGTGCCCTCCCCTCTTGTCACTAAGAAAAGTACCGACGCCGTGCCAAAGGCTGCTGTCACCAAAAAACGTGCACCTGTGAGCCGCCCTTCGTCAGCTAGTAAGCGCCCCAAAATGGTCGATGCTGCTACACAAACTCAAACACCTTCAGGTTGCGATCAATCAGTTCAAACTATTCCTCCCTCTACCAAGGAACCGGAGCTTGTCACGAATGTATCAACGCCACCATCACCAGAGTCGCCACCCGAGGATTATCTCAACGGCATTGACAAATTTGTCTCCAAGGTCCGTACCCTCTTAGACATGCACATAGCAAATCAATGTTGTGGAATAGCAGTTGCTGACTCTTCCCGGTTATAGTACAGTTCTCGTTCTGCCCCTACAGAACTCTGGCAGACACCTGGCTGGTCCAACGGCACCGAGGAGGAGCGTGATGCAATTCTCAATAACTACATCTGCGAGAATCTCGAAAATCCCGACTTCATCAAACTTTGCGAGGATGTTGAGAGATCTTGGCATCGAATTGGACTCGGTTTATAACCTCGAAATACTGATCTGAAATCGGATTTGGTATTCGTGGTTACTGCCACTCAGATGGATTAAGAGTCTACAGTAACTGCGATATGACGGTACAGATCCATTCCATTTGCTGAAAAGCTTTCCCCTGGCTTCCGACACCAACGAAATGATAAAATATCATACGACACAATACCTCATTGCTTTAATGGTAAACTAAACACTAGCTCTAGCTATAAAACTTGCTATGTATTGAGTCTTGTCCAGACAGGCTCGATTGTATCTTATTATCACACACTCAAACACCCATGTAAAACATGTGGATGGAATACAAAGATCTGTCAAAATTCATAAAGTTTTCAATAAACATTGCAGTGACTTGATTGTGAAACTTTGAATTTCAGTTCGCGTTACCTTTCAGTTTGTAGGTTTGACCAAGCATCATCCCTCCGTACACACAAAAGCTTGCTTTATTATGTCTACCAACCCATTCCAGCCACCCCCTTCGCCTATCTATGGGTCTTCATTTAATCAGCTGAAGTTGAGAAAGACCCCCTTCCATTTTCTTGGTTTCATTTCTTCTTGTTTTTGTACATCACTCCATCCTCCGCTCGAGTGTGGTCTTTACTTGAGAAAATCTGTGTGATGGTGCGATTGTATTCTGATGGAGTGAGATGATGGGCTAAGACTTTTGTGGACCCTATTCTGGTTGGTTTACAGTATTGTGGGGTTTTAGTTTGAAGGGATCGAGGTGGTGTGGACAGTGGATTTGGAGTTTGATGGGGGGTCGATTCATAGGAGGAGAAGTGGGTTTGGTTGATTTTTTTATGGGGGGTAAGAGGATGGAGATATGGGGTTGGTGTTGGGTTGTTGGAAGTTTGGAGGTTCTTTTTGGGTGGAGATGTTAAATCTTACATGTATATTCAACTTAACGTTTATTCTTCTAGGGGCAGTAATCTTGTTGTTGATCGCAAGTACGTCCAACAGAAGATGAAAGCTGTGCTGGGATGAATTGAGAGTTTGGGGAGTAGGAACTTGGGTTTAGGTAAGTTGGGGTTGTTGTGACTTGCAGGGGTTGCTGTGACTTGCAGGGGTCGCTGTTTTTGGGTTTGTGTATGGAAGGTAGTAATAAGATTTATTATTAAAGTAACCGTTTATTCTTCGATTTTTCCCATCAAAGAAGAGGTAATAAGTCCAGCCTCTGTGAGAGTGCGGTATAATTTCGTAAAACGGCTTTAGCTTGTAAACCTGCCTTCTATTCTAGAAGATTACATTCTAGGTGTAGAATGGACACTTCATGATCATGATTTGCGGGTAAAGGTGACTTGAGACTGGGACCTTTCAAAGTCCAGTTATTTTGGAAGTGGAGTCTTGGGAATGGATCAATCGCAAATGCAAGAAGATCCCATAGCCAGGATCGTCTCGTATATTAGTTGCAAAGGGCTCTTGGAATCCTCGTGGTTTTTGACGTCTGTTCGATCTTCTCCTCTTGTAAAATCCCTCTTTTCTTGGAGGTGGCAGAAGACGAGAAGGTCGCTGGTGGGAGACTATATAACTTGATAAAGATGGGGCGTCTCATAATAAAGTCCCCTGATCGGCTAGAGTCATCGGCTAGAGTATTATGGCTAAAAAACTGTAGAATTCGCTGGTTTACGCTTAGGGATCCAGGAGCAGAGCGGGAGAACCGAGAGCTCTGGTCGTGCGTAAACAACAGTACAAGGTTTTGATGCTCTCGGGAAGATATGTAATCCATCTAGAAAGCACTGCTCTATTGGCTTGTTATCTCCAGCTGAGTTTTTCTCTAGTTTTAATGGAGTGTAAGAATAACACATAGAATGGAATAATTGTTGTCAAAAGATCCACTCCGTTGTCCTCTCCTGTTTTCCTCTACTTTCAAGATTTCGCAATAACGCCTTGCCAGGACCCAAGGGGGCGTAGGGGGAAAACAGAAATTAAAGTGTCTATGTACAGTACCTTTATTGGCTAGTGAATCAAGCCAGCCCAAAAAAAAGACAAAACCTTTAGGCCCCCTAGCACCGTAGCTGGGAGGCCCCCGCAGGAGAAAATCCACTGTTAGTGAGTGGATTCTTTAGAGGGTATATCGTGGGGGATGGGAGGAGGGTGGGCGGTAACAGGTTTAGTGTGGGTGGCGCATATGGGTGTTGGGGGAAGGGGGGACACACACTAACTGACTGGGCCAGGCGGACAGGTTCAATCCCAGTTTCGGTGACGGTGGCTTTTTTATTCACTGATATCAATTTTGTTTTGCGAGTTTTGTGGGGTTTGGAACTAAGCGGGGAGGTCTGATTGGGTGGGAACTTCGGGTTTATTTATGGGTTGTGAGGGAGCGACAGCCGGAATTTTCCCGTGCTCGCGGACAGAAAACTCACGCAAATTCAGTCCATGCCTGTGTTATGAATTATTCATGGTCTCTCTGCGTTTGAACGTAGAAAAATACACTCTTGATTGATGTTTGATTACCGTGGTTATAGTGAATCATGAGGGAGGCGTTCAACGGTAGTCTCAGGACGGAGCCAGGGGGCAGTTATCAAGAAACGACAGTGAGTACTCATGAGTAGTCAACAGTGAGGCTAGGTGGCGGATAGGAAATAGCGAGGGCATAACTCCATAGTTTGTTAATAGAATACCTACTTAGATATTCCAAATCTGTTACGGTAAATGTAAAGGATTGTGATTAAGGTTGATTGCTTTGTGCCCTGTCCTCTCATGCGAGTTCCGTAGGAAAGACGTATAATCTTCGTGACAGAAATACTTTATAACCCAAGCATAGCCTGCAACTGACTGCATTTCTGGCTCGAAATCAATCACTTTTCTCCTCAAGAGGAAACAACATTGAAACGACCGCAAGGACCGTTGAATACTGGGGATCCAGGTGAACTTTTGGAAACAGCATTGCCAAAAGAGGGTTAATTAATCGGACATTGTTTATCCCGCTTATATAATGATAGCAGCCACCATTCCTTAAGCCACCTGCACAGCCTGTTTCTCTTTTTGCAAAGCACTATAGAATGTCTTAGAATTAGCATTGTCACTTCTCAAAGCCTCCTGAGTCTCAGGACTACCACAAAATCAGAGAAAGCATTGTAGGAAAAAAGAGTAATTCTGGGATTTAACACACGAAACAACGTAGAGGGTAACGAATAATTTCAGGAGTACCCACACTTAGGCAACAATCCTTGGGAGTCTTTGCTGGGTCAACAACATAGTCGACACTGTCCAAATCAATTTTAATAGAATTGGCAACTAAGAACGTCTGAGAGTTACCACAGGCATCCTCCGCAGAGATAGGTTCGGGTACTGGAGGAGTTTGAGTTGCTTCTATATTCAAACTGTGTAAAGCAAGTTAGCGCAGGAAAACGTTGCCAAAGGTCTTGAAAATTACAGGGTTGTTGTGGTTGAAGTCACGGTTGTCGCACTTGTAGTAGTAGTTTCGGGCGTCAATGTTATAGTTACTTGAAAATTTGCCAGTATAATGATCGTTGCTATGTCTGTAGCTTTTGAGGTATATACGCGTGCAGTTTTAGTCACGGCTTCAGGCTTAGACACCTGTGGATTGATGGCGATTATGACAAGCTTTGTGCGTAACACTTTAGCAATATATGGCCCTGCATTTATCTCGTCATCCCCAGTGTCTCTACGTCTGTTGCTGCCTGGAGTATATTCAGATTAGCATGCCTCTGCTATGTAAAAGATAATGAGCAGGAAGGTGGGGAAAAGGATAGCCCAGAGAGCTAGAATATGGGCTTTGAAGAGGATTTACCGTGGGTAGGGTTTATGTAGATGAAAGCAGGTTCTGGGGGTAAGGTCGTTGTGCTTGTTGTGGTTTTTGTCTCGGTCGAGAGGTCCATGACTTTTGGCATCATATGTCAGCCTTGGAGTAATAAACATGTCCTGAATATCCCTTTGAAACAATTCATAGTACGTTCACGCCGCCTAGGGAAACAGCAAAGAACCTACCGGTAGTAAATTCTATATCAAGTGACGTCGACGTAGTGGTAGACGTATCTGTAGGAAAGAGTTCGGTTGAGGTTGTTGTAGTAGTTATAGTCACTGGCTACAAATTAACAAACGGCTTCCCGAGTCTACAGGTTTCAAACCTGTCACTGCTTCTGGTGTGATGTAAACAGTAAGATTTTTCACAATGATGACTCCAGGGTCTATTAAAATTGTTGAATCATTGGTTTTGAATTCCGGAACAACATATTCTTATGCAAAGCGAGTTTTGCATCGGTCGACTGTCACCGTGCTTTTCGTGGCTATAACATAAGGGAAAATAACAATTAGATAGAGATGTGAAAATATCATAGCTGATTTAATATTAGATAATTATCCTCGGAAGTATTGCTGGCTAGGACTAGTGCAATCTTCGTCAAGAAAGCTCCACCTTGTGTTTCAATAGCAGCTTAGGGTGAGTGTCTGGGGTTAAGCAAGAATTACATGTTTGAAAATTCGCTTGATTTCTAGAAAGAATGTAGCCAGGAAGCCACATTCCAGTGCGACTCCTCCAGAGCACCTTGATCAACGCTGTGATGACTTTGGTAAATTACTTATTAACTTATCTTTTCAGACCTTTATGCTTCCAAAATATCCTTGTTGTGATACTTCAAAAGCTAAAGCCGCCTTTTCATTCACGATGGGTTTCCAGCTTCGTCCCCTAGTTCTATCCATCCATCTTGGAAGTCTTTTAATCTACTCTTGAATCATATTACTTCAAATAAGAGGAGGAAGTATAACCATACAAATAAATTTCAAATAAGTTACATGTAAGACATATATAATGGCATACAGTATCATCCGTCTTGGCCGAACAGCCACTTGACAAGTTTCTTTTAATCCCTCTGTTTTACCCATATGTAGAAGATCTGAAGATCTATCTTAAATTCGTTTCATTGTCGCAATTTTGTCAACCCTGGTAGTTGAGGGTAAAGCTTGCCTATGCGTACTATTATCACCCAACGAAGCTCCCGGGTTAATCTTAAACGTTTAATGAATAATGATGCGCTGACTAGAACAACAAATCTATCGGCAGACTATATCTCATTGTCAGATTTAAGCTTTATGGAAAGAAGTTTAGGTAGGATTTAAGTAACGTAAGTAACAAACGCCATGAAAGTAGTAGAGTAAATTTACGACAAATGGCGACCCACAAAGAATGTTACACGAGCATTTATAACGTGATATTGTATAAGAGGACGAAGAAGGATAAGTGAAAGTCTTGGTATCCAATGAACAGTGCTCTATAGATCTCTTATTATTATTATTATTATTATTCCTTTTAACGTGCTGTGTGAGTCTGAGACTAGAGTAGCACGGCTGGGGGTTTCCCTCCAACAGATGAGTAAAGCTGTACTAAATACATGTTTGAGAAGGGGGTTATGGTCATTACAGTTCTTGGGTTGTTGGAAGCAGCTAGGCTTCTGGTTATGACAAAAGAAAAGTTGTTATATTGTAGTACGCCCCCTCGTTTCACGCCCTGTACGCTACACTTCCTCGTTCTCGTCTTCCTCGTCCTCGTCTTTCTCGTCCTCATCTTCCTCTTCCTCATCTTCCTTCTATAGATCTCTTCTATGTAGAAAGCAGCGAACTTATATCTATACTCATTCTGAACACAAGATTTGATGAGACACAATCTCACACACGTCATACAAGTTATATAATCGGAAAGTTCTCGACACGGTACGTGGAACGTACCATCACAGCTTCCGTATTGTTGAAAACGTGTCGACTGCATCTGTGCCACCACCCAAATGTCTCACTTCTCGTGAAGACGGTACGTTGGGGTAGTACATTGGTCACGACAGAAAAACAGTCTTCCCGAAGATTAGAACCGTTGAGATGAGTATGTCTGGAGTACTAAAGGTAAGGGTAGGTAGTCGGGTATTGAGGGGAAGGAGACAAGCGAGAATCCGGAGGTAGGGGCAAGATGTCGACTTTTTCAGTCTATAAAAAAAGAAAAAATAAAGCAGAAATATCAATCTATCGTACCAACTGATACTCGCACTGAACTACAGATCTAACTGAACCCCATAATCTATAATCCGTTATTGAGGTTTACCCCACCAAACCGTCCTCGCCACCCTCCCATCCACACCGCCCTCATAGACACAAAAGTCCATTCTACCCGTTCTCGTACTACACCATGCACACTTCCACCTGCCAAATATCTTCTGCCCCTCTTCACCCATGATCCCTTCTCCTTACACGAACCCATTTTCTGCAATCCTTTTATCAGAAAATGCATTGGGGATGACGGAATTGGCTTAAAGAGCGATTTGCAACAAGTCCCAAGAACATGGAAAGTTTCACAAGATCGGATCTTGGAATATGTAGTGGCGATGGCGGATCCAGAAAGGTGTAATGGTGTGGTGGCGATGTAAAAGGAACGGTGGGTAGAGTCTATATATATGTGCAAAATATTTGCTAAACCCTATGATGATTCTGTTGAAATCCAGGTGGTGTGGGACCTGTGGCATTTGATATAGTATTTCGTTTCATTCACGAATCATATAATTGACAGTATGAACGTAGGTCTAGAAATGGATATCTTGGCTGTAAATTCGTGGACGGTTTCGATGCCTAGGAAGTTTAACTTGCACCAATTTCCAACGTACTGTTATCAGAAACATGTTATTTAGAAACAGAAACACTCATCATTGATCCAATTAGAGTTTCTCAAATAAAAAAGTTCAAAGACAATTAAATCATCCAGTTGATTGCAGATTTAAACTACTCTACTCTGCTCTAATGAGGTACTCCTATTCTCTTCCATTGTCCACAGGGACTGTTAAAGAACTTGATGGGCCCAAACTCGTACGGATTGGCCACTTCTCCTGAGTGCTCACCAAAGGTGGGTTGGTCAGGTGGACAACTATTGTCATCGCGATGGTAAATCGTGCAAGTATCAAAGTTGAAGAGGCCAAATGCACAACCCTTGGTATAGGCGAAGCACTGTAACGGATTTTGGAGTCAGCGTTGTTGAGACTGGAGAAGAAACAATAGTTTCCCAGGTAAAACACAATTGAAAGAGCATTAAGGACAGCTTATTAGACCACCTGAAATAATCTCGAAGGGGGGTGGAACTCTCTCGGGGGAAACATACCGCCATACAAAAATCCACTTGATTATACGTGGGTATTGGTACTCGACGAAGAAGAGAATGACTGTCAATGAACTCTAGGGAGCGCCGGTTGGGGCCGCTGCCGGTAAGTACGAGATTCTCCGGGTTAGGCCCGGGATTGTATAGATTTCCACTCAAAAAAGTGAGCTCCCTGTTACAGGCTTCGTATACGGAGGATGATGTTGGGGTTGCGGTTACTACTGTTTCGATACTAGATGATACAGGTCAGCAAAATAAGTAATTAGAGTAGGCAGTATATTACGTTGCAGTAGTAGTTGTGGTATCGAATACTGGGCTTGTAGTAGTAAACGAGATTGTGTTTGTAGAAGTGAAGGTAGGTGTTGGTGCAGTCTCGGTTTCGGTTTCTGCGGTTGATGTTGGTATATCATCGACGGCGATATACACGAGATTTTTGCAAGATATCTTAGCAATATATTGAGCTTGTGTTGGCTGGGCCTCGTTTCTCTTTCTTTTGGCTATGACAAAACTGTTAGAGCTAAATTGTCGTTGACTAAAGGGCAACGAAAGTGGGACAGAAGCGTACAAGATATTGTAGTGCCCAGGTAAGTAAAAGTAGCCGGTGCCGTAACAATTGCAGGTAAAGTGGTAGTAATTGTGTTTGATACTGTATCGGTTTCGATGGTCGTCTCTTAAAGTACCTACTGTTAGTTTAAGACTCTTTGGGTAGGAACGGGCTAGTCGGGAATTTACCCGTAGTAGTCGCTGTGAATGGGACTGAAGTATCTTTGGTTACTAAAAACAAATCAATATATGTCTTTATCCAAGAGCGAAAATGATGACTAGACCTGTCACTGCAGCTGGTGTAATTGTAGTGTAAGGAGTCTTCACGTATACATCTCCGGCGTCGAGTTAGATTGTCGAATCCTTAGTCTTTATATCTGGGACAACAGATCTCGGAGTATAAAGAGTTCTGCATTTTTGGATCTTTACTGTCCCTCCTAAAACATCTGTAGTAAGTAAGAGGGCGATTGAAAGTATGTATAATAACATGGTACCGCCTGTGATGTTATAGTATGTTCCTCGTTGTAGGCCTGGTTTGTCGATATTTTGGTGCTCATTAGCATCAAGAAAAAAGAAGTGACGCTTGTACTCGGGATTTGGCACATTATGATAGATGGCGCGTCTAGAAACTCGCTTAACTTTCTAGAAAATATGTGGCTAGGGACTTGGAATGTTTCGGTTCCTAGAAGGATAACCAGGAGCCACATTCCTGTCATACACATCATTGGCATTCGACTTCGTCAAAATGATAGATTAAACATTTGAGTGAAATGGAACAAAAGTGATCAGGGGAAGCCTTCCCCAGATCTGTTTACTCGAAACTCTCAATTCACTACATTACTGTGTTGCTCTACCTCAAAAACGTATTCCTTTCACTTCATGTTTTGTCGTGCTTCTCTTTGGACCCTGTAATAAATATAGTTATCGGTACTTCAGAAGCGAATATGGCTATTACGTATTAGCTTTAAACAAACAGTTCCGAAATTGTTCAAAGGTGTGTACTATACATCATGTAGGGGTAATTGTAGGAGTATTAAATTTGCTTTCATGCAGTTGCGGGTACAATAGTGTGAACAAGAGAAGGATAAGACAGAATGCAGTAAGCCGAGGCGTCTAGAAATGCCTAGTCTGAAGTTCCTCTAGCGACTCGGATTTATTTCACCAGGGCATCCTGATTTGATATTTCACTTAAGCTTCTAGAGTACCTGAGTTGTGGGCTCAAAGAGTCCGTCTATCGATTTGGTCTTATTTCACTCAATATTTTGAACAAGTGTGTATAGTGTCTTAGTGGCAGAGGGAGGTGTCTGAGGAAGCCTTCCCCAGGAGATTGAGAGCCCCTCTCTCACGTGGATTTGTTTCACTTATATATTCTGGCCCAATCTCTTAGTGAAGCTTCTGGAGTATTTGAGTGGTTGGAAGGAAGCGTTTGGGGAAGCCTTCTACTAGAGTTCTTCTATCACTTTAATCCTAAAATCCCAATTCACCTAGGTGTCTAGTCCGATATTTCGAACAAGCTACTAGAGTATCTTAGTTGTCTGAGCAAAGCTTTTTTTCAAAGTCCTTCTATCACTAATATTTTACTGCTTTTGAATGTCTTATCTGGAACTTTGACTAAGCCTATAAGTATTTTTGTGGTAGAAGGAGTGCCCTGAGGAAGCCTTCCTTTCGGGGCCCTTCTATCACTTGAATTTCATTTCGCTTAGTTTAATAACCTGATTCGATATTTTGCCTAAGCTTTTGAGTATATTAGTGGTCAAAAGGGGAGGGTCTGAGGAAGCCTTATTCCGGAGTCCTTCTTTCACTTCATGTCACTTGACTTGGTATCCTCGATATTCGCCTTCGCCCAAACTTGAGTATTGGGGTGGTAGAAGAGGGGGTCTGAGGAAGCCTTCTTTCTAGAAGGCAGTGCGATATGCAACAAAACTAAGCATAGAACTTTCTGCTATATAATTGAGTTTATTAGTATGGAGTACCGTATTCCAAGAGATTCACAGATCAAGTGTATGATGTACAACGAACCTAAGATGAAATACTTCACTACCTGTATAATAATAAACAAGTCTACCACTACGAAGTACTAGAATCTAGAACTTAAATTCTGGATCAAGTGTGCGACGTGCAACAAAACTTAGCATGGAATAGCTCACGATATAAACAAGTCTACTAATACAGAATATCATAGGACCTCATTGCCAGGTCAAGTGTGCGATGTGCATCAAAACTTTGGAATTATCCTGACCTACGAATCAAAGTACGACATGCAACAAAACTGACAAAACAACCCTCGCTAACAAAAGCTCCTACTGTTCTATTATTTCCTCTGATCCAAAATATTTACTTCTAAATATTTGTAGGTTGCTAGGGCAATCAATTTGCGATTTGCAACAAAACCTTGGCATGGCATTCAGCTCTCACTCACGCTATACTTTTCTCACTTAAAGTCAGCCTTAGGCTTATCAGCTGCTTAATAAAGTTTATCCAGATCACGTTTGCAGGTGACATCGAAAGCGGATTAGATTACAATAGCTCTAATATCAGAGCAAAGATCATTGGTGCTATTCAAATTCATGAAACAAACGCAAGCAATCCCCTCTCAACGAGAGTAGAAAAACCCAATAGTACACACTCCCAGATCTTACGCCTTACTCTCTGGCTTTGCAGCTCCCTCTACAACCTTATCCTCCGGTGAAAACTTCATGCTGATACTATTCACACAATGTCTCTCATCCGTAGGTGTAGGATATCCCTCTCCCTTAAAGACATGTCCCAAATGACCACCACAATTCGAGCAGACAATTTCCGTTCTTTGCATTCCCAAGGTGCTATCCGTATGACGAGTCACCGCACCTGGAATATTATCGAAATAGGCAGGCCATCCGCAACCCGATTTGAATTTATGATTTGCTTTGTAAAGAGGCGCATCGCAGCCAGCGCAGGTATAGACACCGGTCTCAGGCATGTACTTGTCGTATTTTCCAACATATGGAGCTTCAGTTCCTTGTTCTCTTAAGACGCGGAATTGTTCTTATTCGGGTGTTAGTGAGGGTAATTACATTGGGTGGCAAGAGGGAATACCTTTGCTGAGAACAGCTCTCCACTCGTCGTCGCTCTTCTGAAGTGGATAAGACATTTTGGAAGAACTGTTGGAGCTGAAGAAACTACCAAAGAAGGGAATGGTGGCCATAGACTTAAGGATTGTTCCTCTGGTAAATGGGTTGAGAGCTTTTTGTGGCGCTTGGGATGAGACTCGAGCTGTGTAGTTGCTGATTGTGTAGAATGTACGAACAATGGATGGGAAGTTGGGAATGCGCATAGAGACTTTAATAGTGCAGAAGAATTGAGATACGGATTGTGTGTTTGGAATACTTTCCGGGTGGTGGTGGCACAGTTGAAGTATTTGAAGTCTTTCCCTCGTCGAAGGCGCTGATATGCTTCCTGTCGCCGCCCCAATGGCCCCGCGCTGAATGGACGACGTCAGATACTCGAACCCCCGGACCTCGTCCCTACTCGAGTACCCCTGGCCCTGGATTGGGCATGTCGGCTAATCAGCGGAACTAGCTTTGTCCCACTGCCTTATCACCCTTGAAACCTACAACGCAGCCCAACCCGCATACATATGTGGAATCAAGACGCTGCCATTTAAACACACCCGACTAGAGAACACGGCAGCTCCATCCCCATTCTATACCACGCCTACACCTTACGAATATTGGGGATCACAATGTCGCGCAGACCTCCCAATCCTGCCGCAGAGCGTGCTGCACAAAACACACAGACTCTCAAAAGCCTCGTGAAACTGGAAGGCAACAAGACATGCGCCGATTGCAAAAGAAACAAGCGTGAGTTTGATTCCATATCCATGACCCCTTATGGCTGTTCAACTGACTGAATACTCTCTCTCAGATCCGCGCTGGGCGAGTTGGAATCTGGGTGTATTCATTTGCATAAGATGTTCTGGCATACACCGAGGAATGGGAACACATATCAGTAGAGTTAAATCAGTGGATCTCGACTCTTGGACCGATGAGCAACTACAAAGTGTTTTGAAATGGGGAAACTCGAGAGCGAACAAGTATTGGGAGGCAAAGCTGGCGCCAGGCCATGTGCCATCCGAGGCAAAGATTGAGAACTTCATCAGAACAAAATACGATACCAAAAGATGGGTGGCAGAAGGAGGAATACCAGACCCCTCGACCTTGGATGCGGATGGAGACGATGATGTACCGCTAAGCTTGGTTAGGGAACAGCAGGCTATTGAGCGTTCCACTTCATTGAAAGCTGCATCGGGACCATCTCAAGTCAAAAGAGCCCTTCAACAGGACCTGTTCGGTGACGATGATGCTCCTCCTTCGAGATCAGTGTCTGCCGCTCCACCTGCTTCAAGACCTCCCCCACCAAAAGCTGAACCTGCTCCTCCAAAACAAACAAAGCCCGCAGACTCTCTGCTTGGATTGGACTTTTTTGGAACTGAAGCACCCCCGCCAAACCGGCCACTAAGCGCCGCCTCTACTCCTGGGGCCCAGTCACGACCAGATCTCAAGCAGTCGATTCTGTCATTATATGCCTCTGCTTCTCGACCGCAAGCACAGCAGCAACCGTCTCATTCTCACTCCAGCTCTTTTGGCGGCATGCACTCGCCTGTGCAACAATCTCCTCCGGCGCAACAGACATCGTTTGGAGGAATGAATGATGCTTTCAGTGGGTTGAGCTTTTCCACCAACCAAATGTCTCCTCCAGCTCAGCCAAAACCTTCAGCATTCTCCACCCTTGGTAATCTTTCCGGCCATCAGTCTTCTCAAAAGTCACCACCAGGAAACTTGATGGGGGGCTTTTTTGATACAAAACCTGCTTCCAAGCCCGCACCTCAACCATCGCAGGGCTTTGGCTCTTCTGGTGGATTCGGGGCTTTTGATTCTGCTCCCAGTGCTGCCCCCACGTCAAGCTCTGGCATGAATGATCTCTTCGACTTCTCTTCACCTGCGGCTCCCCCAGCTGCAGCTCCTCAACCAAAAATGACATCACCTCCTGCTCAACAATCCGTTTTCAATCTTTCACAACCTGCACCAGCTCCCAAGTCCCAACCAGCAGTGCCGGCTATGAACAACTGGTCAGATAGCAATGCTTGGGGAGCCGATGATGCAGGTTGGGGTTCTGCCAAGAGCCCTCATACAGTGAAGCCATCTGCAGCAGCACCGCAAACTTCAGCAAACTTTGGTTGGGGCTCCAGTTCAAACTCTTTAGCCAGCCAGAGTATTGTGCCAGGTGGAGGCGGCACTTTCAGTCCAACAACTTCTGCACCACCAAAGGTTACGCCGGATGATGATTTTGGAGGATGGAGTAGTGCAGCACCAGCTGCACAAAATTCCGGCACAACCCAGCCCAAGCCCGCAGCTGGATTTGGGGCCAATGATGCTGATTTGTTTTCTAATGTTTGGGGATAAATAATGGGAATGAAAGTACTGGAGTTGGATGAACTGCATAGCATCTTTATTTGCCTAGTACGTTCAATTAGAAATAGTACAAATTATATGACCCATATGAAATACCCAAGTACATTGAACCGATAATTCCTGATTTTGACGATAATCCATTCGACCATCACCTCCTTATCCATGAGAAAACGCCGTGTGCTATGCTACAGACAGTATATACCAATACAATACACCCCCAAAGCAAATACTCCCTCTCGTTATCATGCACTTTCCAATCCGACGTTGTGTCTCTAATGCCCTTCTAACCATGCTCTCAAAGTACGAGACCCCATAAGAACCAGAGTACCAACACAGTCCCTATAATTATGCCGGATAGCTTGAATATCGCCACTTTGTTCCCACTCGCTGCCATACGCCCTAGTCGTCCCGCTGAGCCTTTCAGACTGGTGCTCATGGAGGAGAATGTATCGGACTATCAATCAACCTGTCAGTACCTGAATCCTGAGAACCAAATTGCCATATCTGTTCCATATCTTCATCGTCCCGCATTACTTCTCCAGAGCTTCACAAACCGGGGGTCTTTCCAAATCCAGGGTACGTCTGACATGGCACGAAAAGGGGCATGTAACACCAAACTATGAACCAGAGGGAGAACCTACGGTATTGTCGATAAGATCTTGGTCGCGGGCATTGTCGTAGATGTCTATCGTGACGCCCCGTAAGGCTGTGACTTTTGCTGAGAGTTCGGAGAGGCGGGAGTTGTTCTGGCGCTCGCGCTCGTAGGCGTCGGACATTTTTGTGGGATTTCTTGTTTTCTGCTTGGAGGAGAGAGGGCGGTGGGTGAGGGGTATGGGGGCTTTTGTTCGTACGCCCTTATGCTGGTGGTGTTTTGCGCGCTATGCTTTGGAGATGCGTGGTTGAGAAGGTGTGAGATGTTCCCAGATGGAGTCTTTGTTCGAGGGGGTTGTGATGTGTACGCTGTTGCGGGGAGGTTCAATTGTTGTGAGCGGTTCTTGGGCTGCGAGTGGGGTGTTGTGAATCGACAAGGTGGTTTGTTAGTGTGTAAGGCGGTCAGGTTGGTAGTGATAGGTAGAGTTTCGAATCTCCCAAGCTGTCTGTGGATTTGAGTTGAACCTTTCGGAGTCTCGCCCGTCGAAAGTCCGCGTGCGTGTTGTGGAGAAAAGGCGCCTGCGGCTCAGCCACAATTGAGAGACACAACAAGGGTGTTGCAGCGTCATCCAGCTATCGGTGGCCCACCCCAGCTACCACAGCCACGAGCCGAGAGCTTTTTGGTAAGCCGAACGCGCATCGCATCGCATCATACTCTCCCGACTTATTTCTCTCGTCCACTTAACTTCACTTGAATTTCTCAAACTCCTAGATTCACCTCAAATACCTAGCTCACTGGCAACTAATCAACTATTGAAACATCGCCTAATCCAAAACTCTTTCATATTATTATTCCCATTCACAGACCCCATACCGAGCTTCCCGCCCAGCTTCAACCCCTCCGTTGGCATCACACGACGAGGCACAAACCACCATTGATCGCACAACATATAACCTAACAACACTCTTGAGTCGAACAGGCGGATTCCAAGGGTACACAATTCGTCATGGGCTTCATCAACAACCCTCTCCCTTCTTCGCTGGCATGTAAGTTTTCTTCCATAACGGGCACTCCGGTATGAAAGGAAATCCTAATTGATTTACCCCGCTACAGCCGAATGTCGAAAATGCGGAAAGATTCTCTCAGCCTTCGTGGATCCAAGGCAGGCTTTCTCTCCTGATAAAGTCATCCCTCCAAGTGTTCTCGCGAACGCAAAGGTATGCTGCTTCTTGTTGATTGTCTACTCTTTTCCCGTTCGCCGTTTTTTTACAAGGCCGCGCAAGCTGACCGAAAATCCCAGGGCCTTGCAATCCTCACAGTAATCAAGGGCGGCTTTATCGGGACCGCAAGATACGGAAATGGTGTAGTAGTCGCTCGTCTTGCAGATGGAACATGGAGTGCTCCTTCAGCCATAGGAACTGGAGGTGCCGGATTGGGAGGACAACTCGGTCTGGAGATTACGGACTTTGTCTTTATCCTAAATGATGCCGCAGCTGTGCGAACATTTTCGCAACAGGGACAGCTTACTCTAGGAGCTAACGTCTCGATTGCTGCTGGGCCTGTGGGTAGAAACGCGGAAGCAGCAGGTGCGGCGAGTCTGAAGGGTGTTGCGGGTATCTTCTCGTATTCCAAGACGAAGGGATTGTTTGCGGGTGTCAGTTTGGAGGGAAGTGCTATTATTGAGAGAAGAGATGCTAATGAGAAGTTATATGGTAAGCCGTGTATTTGAAATCGCATTTTTAGCTTCTAATCAAGTTACAGGTCAACGTCTAACTACAGCACAACTTCTCGGGGGCGCGGTACGACCTCCACCAGCAGCAGAACCACTCATGAGCATACTCAATTCAAGGATATTTGCAGGTGTTTCTGGAGGCTCAGAAGCCATCTACAATGACACTCCAGTTGATGACGAAAGACACGATGATGTAATATGGGAAGGACGAAGAGGAAGTGCAATGGGCGAAGGCTCAGGTGGTAGACGAGGAGCACCAGATGACTACATCAGTACCGGACCAAAACGAGCGAGCACATGGGCAGATGATATTTATGACCGACCATCTAATGGACACTCTCGATCGAATACCATCAGCGGTGGTGCGGGCCGTACTCGAGGTGGGTTCGGCAACCACGATTACTCGTACTCAGATGCTCCTGGAAGCCCTCGAAGTGGGAAAATTGGTCCTGGACGACCAGCAGCACCAAAACCGTTATTTCAAAGCAAAACTGGGGGGTTAAAACAAGATGAGGCTGTTGCACTTTTTACCTTCGATGCGGATCAACCTGGTGACCTGGGGTTCAAGAAGGGTGAAGTCATCACGGTGACAAAGAAGACTAATAGTACTAATGATTGGTGGTAAGTTATTCTCAAATTTCTGTTCTGTAAATACCGCTAATAGATCTCAGGACTGGTATGATCGGCACGAGAACTGGAATATTTCCCAGTAACTATGTCGAGATGAAGAAATAAGTACTTCACACGACGTTGGTATTTCCTTGTCTGTCTGTCTCTTAAATTTGAATAGGAAGGATGGATTTTCTCTCACACAAATTGTTGGTTTAGCAATTTCATATAACATGCGGTCTCGAGACATGGTCTTTGAAAGTGGGGTGGGTCTACGCATACATGGCATCTGCGCGGTAGCGAATTTCTGAGTTGATTGATAACTGGTGGATTATTTCCTTAATTGTGTATTTTTTGTGGGGATATGGGGCTTCTTTTGGTGTCTTGGGCCTTTCTCTTTTCTTTTTCGATACTGTAGTGGTTGATTTTACGATGTCTTGGGCCTTTGGTGGATCTCTTTCGAGTGGGTTTCTTTGGTGCCTTTTTTTCCCCCTCTTTCTTTTCTTCTGGAAATGATGAATTGAAAGTTTAAGTCGAGAGTTGAGATTTGAGATTTGGGTTTTTGATCATTTCCTAGGAGTCGTGAAATCATGAGGTGTGAGGAGAATTACTTTGGCTGCTAAAGTAGAGAGAGAGGTGGGGGAAGGTAAAGGGAATACAGATATATAGGAGATGAAGAGAGTGGTTTTTTAATTCCATCTATTGTTCTATTGAAGAGTGGTTTCTTGTGTGGAGTAGATGCTGTATTTGGTTGTAGGCGGAAGAATTATACTGTTTTGAATTTTTGATGTGAGGAATGAGAATGTATCTAGATGATGTCTCTTGAGGGTTTGGGTTTGGTAAGATACTTTTGGTAATTGATGTTAAATCGTTATTTTATCTCGACTACTGTACCACCATCGGTTATTGACTCGTGCTCATTTTCGTACGCCTTCTTCACAAGGACCGTGGTCTGACCATGGTAGCGCGGTCTAGTGTGAGGGGTGAGGGGAAACGACCTCAAGTCGACTACTCGCATTTCTAGATGACCAACTCTCGAGGTCTGGATTCCATGTATGGTACCCGGATGGAGATTTTGAAAATAATATCATGTATGTATTAGTACCAAAGGGACCTACTATTCTGAGTACCGGTATTCCGACTCATGCTTTAACAATTTCGCAAACTTTTACCCCTGATGAAGCTACAAATTCAACATGACACAATAATCATATGAAGAGAAATGTAGTAATCAGTGTTACTCGTACAGCGCCTGGATTTGAGGTTGCATATAGGTGCAGAATTACCCGAGTTTTAACCCAGACTTTGGAGTCGTCTTTGAGTCTAGGTAGTTAGCAGTAACATCTGCATCTCATGGTGGGGCGGAGATGGACAACGACCACTGTCCGCTCGGAAAGGGATGGGTTCGAGCTCCGATCTGAGACCACTATCGACAGCCACAACTCACCCCGCGTTCTACTCTCTATATATAAACGTCATTCATCAGCACTTCACTTCAACTTGATCAATCTCACCTCTAATTTTTCATACCAACACACAAAAGTAATTCCAAAATACTTGAAATTTCAAAACCAAACATTCAAAAATGGCCGACCAAACCTTTCCAATTCGCTTAGCCCAGACCCTGGGACTCACAACTCAAGGCAGTAAGTCCCCTGTCAACACCCAAGAAACGCATCCACTTAGTAAAAGTACATACTAAACTCCCCTCAGTCGTAGCCGGCCTCTCACTCTCCTACTCCATCATCGCCGTCCCCCGCCTCCTAGAATCCCCCACACCCCTCATGCTCAAGCAATGGGCCGCCATGTACAACACGGGCAAACTCTTCATGCCACCACTCTCCCTCCTCTCCGCATCCACCTTCTTCTACCTCGCCTCGCAATTCCGTAACGTGCCTTCTGCGCTCGCCGCGCAGAAGTACTGGATGTTCATTGCGGCGGGGTTCTTGGCGGGTGCGCAGGTCCCGTATACGGTGCTGCTGATGAAGGGCACGAATGGCAGTCTGATGCAGAAGGAGAAGGAGGTTAGGAACTTGAAGTCTGGGGATAAGATTGTGGAGATTGGGTTGGGGGAGAAGGAGAGTGCGCATGAGCTTGTGGATTGGTGGGCGGTGCTGAATTTGGGGAGATGTGCGTTTTTGACGGCGGGGTTTGTGGTTGCTACTTGGAATGTTGTTAATTGAGGATACTCATTTCTATTGTACATAAAAGATGTGGGGTTTGGTCTGGTTTTGGTTTTGGTAAGGGAGGAGATCTGATATACTCGGTTCAAGGTGTCGATATATTGAATGATAATAAAAGACAAAAAAACAGTCTAGCAGTATTTATTTGGTCAAAGCAATGTTTCCCAATCTCAACACTATTACCATAAATCTACAGTCTAGTCTCTGTCTATCTATCAATACAACGAGTCTGATCTTTGCACTCATATCAACACTACATAATCATAACAGCTCATCACTCCATCACCTCATCAGCTTAAAAACAAAATTCCATTAAGGATAAGTACAGGCGCTTGCAAGTACTGTATTCGTTTTTTGTATGGGAGGCTCGACGTGGGTTGAGCTGTTAACAGTTGTAAAATTGCTTAGAGGTAGATCCAATGGCTATAATTGAGGAGGAAGTCAACCCCCTGGGACCTGGGCCAAGATTTACCGGTAAGCGAACAATATACGATTTCTCCTTGTATTTCGCCCAGCTGGGGTGTTCGTTTGAAAAGTATAGAGATAGTACCTGTTTACACGTGCTTTTGGTATTATCGTGGACACTCGGCTATTATGTAAGAGTTCTGGTTACTATCTGCAATGTTATTCAGTTGAGGAGAATACGCAGCTATTGAAATTACAAAATTCGCCCGAGGAAAGTCGGAAGTCCTAATTTGGCCTATCCCAAAGTGGCAATTAGCAATATAAGCAAACAATAGATACTTGATCAGAGCACTATTTGCTAACTATGATACTTACATTGCCTATCTAAGTACCTGTTCTCAAAAACATGAAGTAAAGTTTGTGAGGCATCGTGTGAAGTCTATCTAGCATATGTTTCAATGTGTATCCTAAGATATATAAGTTCCTATCCCACACCGTTCTGGTTTTGTCATATGTTCAAAAGAGGTGTGACGATAATTTGAACGCTGCTTTTACTAAAACATCGGCTTTTATCCTTTTATCCGGTCGCGAACTCCAACTTCACTTCATGCCTGGATGTACGCACCACCAACTCGATACCAACGCTCCAAGTATCAAGCAAACCGAAAGTAGCTTTCCATACCTCTTGAGTTCCTGGTTTCAATATCCGAATACTGATAAAACACCACAATAAATAATGCATCAACTATCCTTAAAGGAAAACGGAAAGCAGCTCTGCGGTACAAATATCCTTTCTCTTCCACGGGAAACTCGGGATCTAATCTATACTTATTGCCTCACATCTACAAGCCCAATCGTAGTATGGTCAGGACAAATCAACTATACACCAGTTCAGACCGAACCTCCACTGCCCGCTTCCGATGATGAGCTAGATTCTTTTTGGGCGGCTCCAAAGTTCATTACCGAGCGAGCTGAGCGCATTATTGATTTTCATACCATGGCATCAAGCAAGCGGAACATAGCCCGTGGACTCCTTCGATGTCATCCTGTCATCTCCGGCGAAGCAGCAGCAATATTTTACCGGATGAATACATTCTCCTTCGTGGGTTACCACAGCTGGTACCCCATCAACTCATGGCTTCAAGTCATCGGCTCGCAGAACCGAGGATACCTAACCTGTCTCGAAATCGAGATGCATGCGCCCATGCATGTAAAGCAGAAAAGCGATGGAGCGCGAGTTGATGCCCCGATTAATTGTCCTTGGACTCGGTACGAAATTGTTTCGCAGCGTCATCCACGTCTATATCTCCCGAAAGAAGGGCCCATCGAAGGAATAGTGGAAAACATCAACCCAGCAATCGAATGTTTCTTCAAGATTTTGGGCTCGGAAGGACTGAATTTGAAGGTGACTCTCTTGACTCATGCTTGGTTCCCAGGCTCTCAGCCAAGAAGAGAGGAGGAACGTGTATGTCCTGAGTCCAGTTGGTTTGGCATGGATTTGCCGATTTTGATTGAGATTTTTCGTCGTCTTTATACCATGAACGGGGGCGGAAGACCGCGGATTGATGTTTTGGTAAGCTTCTCAGTCGCATTCCCAACCTTTCTTATTGTCTCGTCCCTTTTCTTGTTCTATCTTAACCCAACAATTCTTGAAAAACGAGGAAGTTGACATCGGGGATTATTTTAGTGGAAGGCGTCTTTACTCGCCCGTCTCTATGCTAAAAAGAAGCGTGAAATTGAAGCTCCTGGTTGGCAGATTGTAATGGAACATGAAAGGGTTGAGGATTTTAAGACAGTTAGATTGGAAAATTATCCAGAGATTAACTACCCTATGCCGCATATGGTTGATATCACTATGATAAGAGAAGGTATTGGAGGGGAGTACGTTGTTGCAGAAGGACCGTATCCCTATTCTGACTTGGGAAGATAGAGCGTGGGGCTGAGGCATAAGAATGGGGGTCACATAGTGTTCGTCAACTACGTAGTGTTATTCTTTGGCGTCATTTAACACAAGGATATCGTGTTTTGTCTGAACACCATGAAGTCTCAAGCGAAATTGCCGTTGTCAACCATATCCTCAAAATGGGCAGTTTCTTCTTCTCTTATGTATTGGCTATGAGAGGTTTGAAGTTGCCAGAGCATGCTTGTCTAGTATTTCGGGAACTTATCTGTTAACTATACTTGCATGGCAGCATGGATATGGCTACGCTCGCACTAGATGACTGACTTCTTGGTGCAAATGAACATTATAATTCAATTCAATAGTGGATTTACGAGGGAGAGAGGCTCACATGTATGACTTGACCGCAGGCAAATCAGGGGTACCAATTTCTAAAGTTTCACATATCACGCGTCTTCGTCCTCGACTTCCTCCATCTGTACGGTCTTCGAACTAGGCTGCGTAGGGCCTGTGTTCAGATATCCTTCTCTTTCAAGTCGATCCGCCTCTTCTGGCTCCACCAAGCCTCCAACTCCTTTACTTCGATCCAGCTTCGCCCGTACTGTTGCCGGAACGAATGCCACTGCCTCCTTTCTCAAATTTCTCAAAGCAGGTTTCGCTTCGTAAACTGTCTTGACCTCCTCCAAAACTCTTTCTTTTGGCCCATTTCCACCGCCACTTCTATCCGGGAATTTTCTAGCATTATCGCCAAGCGGTGTCGAGTTTGCAGCAGTGCCCGAAGCTCGATCGTTACTCTCTCGATCAGGGTTATTTGCCTGCCATCGCTCCCGTCGTTTCTGGTACCACCTATCCAGATATTCCTTAGGTATTGGTGGGGGGGTATCGCGTGGCATAGGTATCCTCTTCGTGTCTTCATCAATCTCACTCTCATCAGTGCTTCCTTCATCATCCCGCCTCCTCTTCCCCAGTACACCCCCACCACGCCCTCCGCCCCTCCCTCCTCTGCCTCCCTCAAATCCTCCTCTTGAACCAGAACCAGACCCAAATTTGGGGGCTTTCTCTCCCAAAGCTTCTCTTGCCTTCTTTACCGCTCTGATTTCTTTCTCTAGACCTTCAACAATGGACTTTTCGTGGGAAGTGAGCTTGCCACCCGACGATTCGAGGGCTTTTAATTCATCGAGCTGTGTCTGGAGGCGGTCGGGGTTTTTCTTCGCAAGACGCTCTGTTCGGGTAGCCTGAACTGCTGCTTTGCCTATTCGAACAATGTATTAGCAGCTTGATCGAGAATGAATGCAGATTTAGGCGTACCTTTTTTGATAGCTTTGGCTTTGTCTGCTTTGCGCTGCGCTTGCGCGGGGTTTATGGATTTCTCTTTCGGCATTTTACAGGCGAGAGAGAATATTGATGTTGGGTGGTTCGAATCGAGAGCTCCTGATGCTGTACTCGTAGCTCTGGAGTAGATAGCTACCAGTACTGCGAGAGTTGCCCGACATGGTGCCGACAAGGGCCCGGTCCCGGCGTGGTCCTCGCCCCGGCGCCCCGAGTGCTGCGCCCGCCCAAAGCCTCTACCTACATTTATTATACAGTAAATCTTGGGGGCGAAATATTGTATAAGCTTGCGCCTTTGGTAGCATCTCACAGCAATCAATGAGCAGAAGACTTTAATTCCGCTGGCTATGCCAAAGAAATCAATCTCAGGCTACAGCTAGTTGTGTAATCAATAATTGTACCATATTATCATCTCGTATTTACTCAACACTTAAGCGAAAAAGAATCTCTCTATTATTCCCAAGCACCGCACCCCCTCTCTACCACTATCCTTGTGTAGATCTAAGCCTCCCCCTCCTCACATCTCTAACAGAAAGATTATATAAGAACTGACCGTATAAAAAGTTACAAAAAGATAAATCGGATTGGTCTTTGGAGTAATGAAACCTACCGGCTCTTCGATTTTTGCAACTTCCTAATACATCGCTAAAATATATAACAAGAATACTTATGACTGCTGTACTCGTTATTTTATTGCATCAAGTCTAGGTTTTAATAAAAAAACCTTTGAGATGATATCCCACCAGCCTTCATTTTATATCCTCTAAACACCCGACAATTCTTTCACGAAAGAAACAACGATTGTGATTGTAGCTGAGCAAATTGCGCCATGACATGTATTTTCAGATCATCATGAAATAAAAAAACAAACTTGTAACAGTACAAAGCAGGAAATACAATGTGAACGAATCAAAATCAAATAATCAATAACCTAGCAACTACTCATAGCGCTATTATTTACTAGCAACAAGACCCGAGTTCAACAGAGAGCTAGAAGTAAGCGAGAGAGTGAAATGGCATCACACTTTAGAATATAACCCAAATAGACCCTTCCTCTCCACTCTCGCCTTCTGCCTAGCTGCTGCATTCTTTTGTCTTCTTATCCTCCTCAAGAATGCACTCTCCTGCTCCGGAGGGAATCGCGCTCCAGGAAGAACAAAGTAGTCTACCTCTGCAGGGTCCGGACCAGTCAGGCTCGTCACTCTGAATCGTTCACGCATCCTAGAGCGCTCAACAATCTCTTCATTCCTTATGTCATTCTGTGGCATTGATACGTTTTCCCAGGTACCATCATCTCTTGGACGCCTCCTTCTACCAGCCACCCAACTATCCCCTATTTCTATCAAGCGTTCTTCTCGCATTTGTCTTACTTGACGCTCCCAGACATTTGAATTTCGCATCCTGCGCTGGCGCCTTTGAGCTTCACTGAGACCTGGTGCTTCTTCATCCACATACCCCTCCAACACCCCGCCGCCAGTCGCATAGCTACCAGCGTCTCGTAGCTGGAAACTGCGACGAGAAGTCGATTCTAGGAAGCGTCCCGATCTTCCCAGTTGTCCCAATTTACTTGGATGCCAAGTTGGAATGCTCGGATCCAATCGTTGGGTCGTGTAAAGGAGTGCATTCGTGTTCTCATGGAGCCAGTACCTGCTTGGGCCTTCTTCTAGCATATCAGCCCTTCTTGAGGACCCCATTGGTGGGACATCGCAAAGGGCACGTCGGGCCTGATTGAGGGAATTTGCGTATGCGGTGGCATTCTCCGCTTCGTAGCCTTCGAGGTTGTGGACAAACTGATTGTCAAGTCTTATATTTCCTTTATTCACATCCAGACCAACCCTTTGCCAATTAAGCTTGGGTGCGGATCCACAAGTTGGACACTATAGAACGAGGACCAAGTCAGTTATTGGTCGGGTTTGAATCGACGGGGGTGGGGGGACTTTTGGGACAGAATAGAATACACATTTACTCACGGTGTGAAGGTACTTTCCAGGCATATCCCAGAACTCAAAAATGCATTTGAGATGATGCAGATGTCCACAAGGAAGGAGAGCAACGGTATTTTCAAAGGTAAACCCGCCTTTGGACTCTTCTATACATACTCCACAGGCCGAAAGTACGGGGAAATGAGTCTCGCCACCAGCGGCGTGGATTCTTTGCTGCTCTGAATAATCAATGGGGTGCATACCCAACACCTTCCCAGCTTTTCTTCTTGGTTCTGTTGGCTTAGGATTCAACCACTCGAAAAGATGCCCAGGAGTTTCATCATCTGCGTTCTGAAGTGTGGTTTCTCTGAACGTTCTGATTCCGTCGGCCGCCCATTCATTTTCACCCTCGGTATTGTAAAGCTGGTATAATTTGGCCCTTGGATATAATCAGTATCTCTACAGTCTTCGCTCAACCCAATTCCCGATGATTTATAAACTTACCAGGGTCGAGTTCCCTGCCAATCTGTGAAAAGACGGTGGCCATAACGAGGTCTAGTATACTTCTGGACCCTTCGTAATAGGTTACGAACTCGGTGCTCCTGAATACCCATTTCGGCTTGTATCTTAGGCAGGAGGAAAAATTCAGGATTAATCCATGAGAATTGGTTAGTGAGATCTCTGATATCTAGACCCGCAACTTGTTTATCGACAAGTATGTCTTCAGCGTGATCTTCAACCAGAGCATCCTCAAACTCATATTCTCTGCACACCAGGTCCAAAATAAGTCGTTCGAACGGGCTGTCTTCCATGTACCCATCAGATCTCTAATGTCTTTGTTAGCGACTGCTGAATGGTTCTGACTGTCTTCTTTGGCCACAGATTATTCTTCACTGTGAATAGCTTTCACGGATTTAACGATACAGCTACCTCAGCTAAGAAGACAAGTGGGCCTGAATGGATTCAAAGATGGGAATGAGAATGCTTACTCGTTTGATCTCCCACAGAATTTCCGGCTTGTCCAATTTTTCATTCATGAACGAATGTAGTTCATCCTGATCCACATCCATGCCGCGAGGTCTGTCCTCGTGGTCCATTACCACTTCTGATATCACTCTCATATATCTTCGCAACTCGGCGATTGTATTGCTAATCCAAGCAAGCCAAACAGAGTTCACAGTTGTGTAAGTATCATATATAGGATCAGGTACTATGGTTACCCAATTTTCTGATCGGTGAAGCAATATGGCAGCCTCAAAAAGTCCCGCTAAACAATGACTTGATAAACATTTCAATTCTTTACTCCAAAACACTTACCGATCGCCGACGTGATTTGATCGCTAATTTCCCTGGTGTCTGAGATAAGTATTGTACCAGGGAGATGTAGAACTCTGATCCAAAGTCTACGGAAGGCCCACTGGATATCAAAGATCAGCCTTGGCCCAGAATAATAGTAAGAGACAGTGCGGGTTTGATTGGTTAGTAGAACAACTCAATTCCTTACCTCTTGATATAAACGGGCATCAAGTTCTAAGCGGTCGTTATTCTCAAAGTCAGAATGACGGGGTAAGCTTCCGATCGGCCAGTCGTCTAGTAAAGGCTGCCTATAGTCATGAGTCCAAGAAGCCTCCGGAGTTCACGGCCGAGGGTGACCAGTTGAGCTACCCGCCGACGTAATTCAGTCCGTCCGGCGGATAGAAGTTCCCCTTCCATATCGCCGATAAGAACCTGAAGAAACTCTTCCACATCCTGGTTCTGCCAAGTCAACTTGTCTCCACAGGATCCTTAGACAGCTCGGTTGTAAGTGATATATAAGCATGTTGGCGTGTCCACTCATGTACTTCCTTAAACAGTGGTTGAAATCGCGGTTGCGTCGGGTCCTCGAATGTTGTTTCTTGAATGTCTTTTACGAGCTCACTGACGGCTTTCCCGAAATAGTGCTCATCGAGGGTCGGTCGTACATCATCATCCTCATCACCGCTATCATCTGATTGCCAATGGAACATGCGTTCCTCACCCTCTGGCAACAATTGCGGTGCCTTTCCCATTACAACGTCCTCGTCCGAATCCATGTTTGCGCGAAGGACTGGTGCCCGTTCGTCGTCTTGTCACTAGTCGGGAATCCGTGAAACGGATTTAGTGGCACGGAATATTACTGTGTTACTCGTGTCTGGAAATCAAAAACCTGCCAAAGATAGACAGAAAGAGGAAAGAAAAGAAGCAGAAGTGCAAGACAAAGAATTATCTGTTGTTACTCCATCGGGACGAGGTCCCGACGAAAACATCATCTCTTCTCAAGAACAAAGACGATGAACCATACTTTGACAAGAAAACGTCAGACTTAGAAACAATGTGTATAAAGAATCCGGATTTGTGAGGTGCTATTCCACGAACTCGAGTTCGAGAAACAACAGGCTCAATTGTAGTTAGATTGCCGCCACAGCCTTGAAGAATGATATTCTGAATATTTTCATTTCTCTAGATATATTAAGACAATGACTAAACAAAAGCAAGATCACTTTACGCTATAGCCAGAACTTTTGGCAAAAGCTCTTGGTGTAACACAATTTGCTAGTATTGACATGGAAGCCGGAGAAAAAGACAGGATGTGAAATCGATCCACTCCTCACTCGATATCAAATCCAACCTCCGCAGAAATCAGAAAAGAAGAAAAGTGTATAGAATTCCAATTGACTTATTTTTAAGGACGCCGGTCCTTGAATGTTTTGTCGAGGGGTTGTATTGTTTTTTAAAGCTTGCAAAGAACCTGGTTTCAGAGGGTGAATACCCTCCTGGTAAAAACCGCTTAGCATACTTTTTCAAGCTGCTTCACCCAAAAACATTGGCTCGAGGAGGAAGGATTTGAGATTCAGGTGGATACCGAAAGGCTATGAGATACTTCGTAAAATGCACCTACACGTGGGAGAAATTAAGTCTTGCAGTGGGCAGCCTTTAAAAACCTTGAAAACCATGATAAAAAAAGCAATTAACCGACTGGCCTAGGCCAATTACACTTGAATCGAAGAAGTAGGAGAACAAAAGCATTAAATACCGCCACTGTCCTGACCACCAAGACGTAGCTAAGTAGACGTCGTTGATATGTCTTATCTGCTCGAGTCATTGAATCATATAGTTCATCATGCAAAAACCCGTTCCGAAAACAGTTCAATACAGTATCTGAAGCTCGAAAGATACTTGTTGGCATGTTTTAGGAGGTGCAACCCTGATTCAGTACATGCCCTGGCTTCTAGAAAGAGGTGAAACTTTACGAGCTCACGAGATGAGACAAGCTTAAAAATCAAGCCCATTCCACGACTCGGCACCCATGTGGCGTTTTCTTCCCTCCCGAACCCAGAACCCTAAGGCCGGCCGCCAGAGAGGTTGGAAGAACTATTTTGGTGTTGTTTGCGGAAACAAAAAACGGGCTGTATTCAAGGCATCAGATGACTTTCGGCAAGCACTTGTGGCCCGCATCAAATCCCACACCGCCGCCATGGTTGCACCAGGTTGTTTGTCTTGAATCAAAATTTCCTATCCGGTATCTTCATTTCCTATAACTCTTTTGTTATTTATTGTTTCCACTCCATACTTCCTCAGATAGCCGAATAAACAAATTTGGAACCACAACAGTTTCTGGTATCTCCGAGTGAGCTCGGAGGAGGCGAATAAGATTTTCACTCAAGTTTACGTACCGACAGGAAGAAGGCTCCATATATTTACGAGGACCTCGTTTTCTGTCTAAATCCAGCGGATCTTCGCTGGGGCCGATTGCTGATCTTCTATTCCCGGTATTGCAATCCACTCTTGAGCCACTGAGGCTCCACTGTACCTCCGTGCCCGCATGGAACTTCGATCAGACTTCCACCACATGTTGGTACCGGCATCGCTCGTTGGGTCTGAAAAAAAATTAAAAAAATTTCGCCGTCCCAAAATGTGACAGTGGAAAATGTTGAGGGTCAATGTTTATTGAAACCACCACCAAGCTATCCAACAGGGAAAAGCCTTGAAGAAGCCGCCACTAACAAACATGGCACCAGTTTTTTTAGACTTTTATAAAGCTGGAGCCTGAAGGGAAAAGTTAATTGATTGAGCGAACCCACCGCCGTGGAAAATATGGAGTACCAAATGGAAGGGCAATGGAACATCACCATCGATCCATCACCGCTCCGCTCCGCTTGCATTCTTGCATTCTTGCCCGCAGCTTTGCGGTCGCGCCTTCCAAGCAGGCCAAAGAAAGTGTAAAGCGAACAGCTTTTGGGGAACGAGTCGAGTGTTTGTTCGGGATGGTGTCCACGGTCCAATTCTGCACAGCATCCGCATCCGCACCCGCATCTACGAAGTAGACCGGATACAGTATCATACTCGGTACACATACAGATACTTCGTACAGAATGGAAAACCCAAATCTCCAGAGTGCCTCCGTACAGTAGCTAGACGGAGTACGGTAGCATTCATCCCACATCACCTCTACTGTACGGAATACGTACTGCACAGCATTTGACTACAACATACCGAGTGCGTACAGTACAGTACAGTCATCGGTAGGGCGGAATGGGCGATCGATGCTTGTCCTTCGTACTGTCCTCCTCTCAGGTCTGCACATGTTCATCATCGCTTCGTGTTCACAAGGTACGGTACCAACTCACAAGGTAGAAGTACGAAGAACTTCGTACCTATTCCCTACTCCATACTCCCTCCCCCTACTGTATCCTTCCCCCCCCTACTCAATAC